TCGTGATAACATTTAGAACCGAAATAAATAATAATTGATCAATAAAGCACAGGAATAGGTTTCGATTTCTAAACTGCCCGATATATTTGTTTAACAAAGGATAAAAATATCTCTATGAAAATTTATGGCAGTCAATCGACTGAACAATACATCATTCTTGGTAAATAGTGAGGGTTCAATCATTACGATACTTTTAATTTTAATGTTATTCTGAGTAAAAAGAACCTTGTCTGCTGTTCCATAGCCGCTGCTTTAAAAAATGGCAGCTGATTTAAAGAATATTAAGCCAGTAATTTGAGCACTGAAACGAGATATTCATTGCGAAAAATTTAGGAAACATTTTTATTTCTTTAACTTATATATATGGATTCAGACATGTAAAACAAAATTCTTAACGCAAGCCATTAAGGAAAAATTTTTTACAGGCAAAATAGTCAGATTTTTTCTTTTTTCACCTATAACTCCTAAACGAATCATCAAAGTGAAAAATGTATTCTTTAATAAATTAAAAAACGTTAAATTGCGCGTCGAAGCAGTACATAATTTTTATAATTTTCTTACGTGGTAAGGTATAAAATTACGGTCAACCAACGGTGATTTTTACCAACATTGTCAAAAAATGAGACAAATTATTATAAATGGCCCTGTAACTTGGAAATGAGTTCCCTAAGAGGAAAAATCCAAAAACTCAAAGTTGTAGAGCATCAATTTTTGTGTCACCTGAGTACTGATATTTTTATTTAAGGCCAATTATATATCTCGAATCGAGATTCGTTATTCCTTTATGAAATTCGGTATCCTTCGACGCATTGTTTATCAAAATCCTTCGCTACTGAGAGGTGGAAAAGAGGCTTACACTGCATGTGACATACTCTAAACAAAATTAACTCAGTAAAATAGACACCCATAGTGTTGAAACATTGAAAATCACTGGCCATCAAGTAATCTTCATAACCGATTTCTAACCATCGAGAGATTTTGTTTGGAGTATGTGACCTACATTAAATTAGTTGGTACTCAGTGGACGCAAAATTTGATGCTCTACAACTTTTATTCTATGGGTTATTCTTCTTAAGGAAGTACTTTCTAAGTTACAGGGCGATTTATAGAAATTTGTCTCAGTTTTTAACAAATAAGATAAAAATCAGCGTTGGTTGACCGTGGTTTTATACCTTACCACCTAATTAAATTGTAAAGTTGATATACACGTTCGACGCTTTAACGTTCTTTATTTTATTAAAGAATACATTTTTCACTATCGTTTAGGAATTATAGATAACAAAATAAAAAAAAATCTGGCTTTTTTGGCTGTAAAAAATTTTCCCTTGCGACCCGCGACAGCAATTTTGTTGTTTGCATATCTAAACCCATATATATCTGGAACGGCAGACAAGGTTCTTTTTATTCAGGATATCATACACTTTCGTAATTTACAATCAAACCTTCGTCTGCGATGGGATCGATTTTTGGGCCCTGACTCCAGAGCTAAAACAACTGAATAATTTTAAGGGTTAAAAATAAAATTAGAGAAGCAGGAAAAGTTGTTATTTGTAAGATGAAACAATAATAAAGTTGTGTAAAGTTTTAATAATAGCAACGAGAAGTTTTCGTATAGCTTGGCATTTTTTATAGCCTCTTCATTTTAAATTCTTCTTTATACATCGTCCATAACTCAGTTAGATAACGAATGAAAAATATCACATTTTTGGAATTAATTACTTTCAAGTATACTTGTAAAATGAGTTCTTATAAATACAAATCCATGAATAAGAAACATTAACAGGTCGAGAGAAAAATGTTATCCCCTACGGCAAAGTTGAAATTGAAACGTGAAGTATTTTTTTGATATCTTAAAAATCTTTTTTCTCATACCTTAGTTTAACATGGTGGCGAAGTCCAATCATTCGACAATGAAATAATTTATTTATACTTTATTATTTATGATCCCTGCCAAGAAAATAATATCTATTCTAATTTATGGTATATCTAATATTTATTTTAATATATTGGCACTGTTAGTATTTACTCCTTTACGACTATCAATGCTGCTGGTTATCAACTTCGAAATGGCATGACCTATCTCCTTTATCAGGGATCGCAAAAACTGTTCTCATTCAGATTCAATATTTATTATATAAAGAGAAATTATTTATGGCTAGTATCGTACAAATTTTTAGGCGTATCATGGCATATTAAAAAAACTGCAAGAAGAAATATATTACGATATTATTAAAGATGAACTTGGGAAAGACACTATAATAAGTATTAGTAGAAAAAGACCTTTTCTGTCTCGATAAATAATTACTTTATTTCAAATTTATCCAAATTTTCGCCTCTTCAGGCATCTGAACCAGTAATGCGTCTGATTTAGAGGCGCTGGGATCTTCTATAGTCTTGATTTTCCTTTCTAGAGTGTGGAGAAAATCTTGGCTCGGAGATCTTGGGTGAATGATTTTTGATTTTTATTCATTTTTTTTTTTTTTAGATATTGTATAAAAGCGTGTGTGTATGTGAGTAGTTATTTTTATTAGTTTAGTTTATATACATTTACTTTTAGTATTATTGTTTTTACTGTATTATTTATTTTTAAACTGGAATTAAATACTGGAAACTGTATTAAACTGGAAAATCAAAATTAATAGTATAAAATCCACCCACGTTAGTTTCTCTCTTAGGAAAGCCTCATGTCCACCCATAACGATTGCCAATAATCCAGTGCCTTCAAAGAAACCTATTTATGGTACCTTGGACTCTACTTAGACAAAAGACTTACTTGGAACATACATACGAATTTAAAAAGACAAGAACTTACTACACGATATAGCCAACTTCACATCTTCTGGACTACAGATCTTCACTTAACTTACGAAACAAGCAACTTATCTACAACTTACTGAGACCAATATGGACATATGGAGCAGAACTTTGGGGTTCAGCAAAACAAACACACATAAACAAAATACAAACAGCACGGTCAAAAATTTTACGAAAAATTGTTAACGCACCTTTCAAATAATACTATACATAACGACTTAAACACCCCAACAGTAAAATCCTACATCCACGACAAATATACTACATTTCATTCTTCAACCCAAAATCACTCCAATCCTCTGGTTCTTTCTATCTCCTGCTCATCTGACATCTGTTACCTGAACAACGCAGATTAAAAAGAAAATGGCCAAGAGACCTACTATACCAATAAAAACCATATCAAGGAAATACACAAAGACAATACAAACACAACAAATTTACTAGATGCGCAGCCGCGCAGGTGCAAATTGCATAAAATATAAATAAATAAATTTATTTTTATTTATTGTTAACAGAGCGTGAATGTGCTCTCTGATCACTATTATAAATGTCCTTATTTGTGACAGATTGTAATATCTCTCAATAAATATAGTTCAATACAGCGTGAATTTCTATGAACAATAGATGCTTCAAATCTTCGAAAAATTTTTTTGTCAAATTCACTGGCCATCTCCAAATTATTCGTAAAAGATGATCATGGGAAAGATACTATAATAAGTATTAGTATAAAAAGGAAAAAGGCTAACATTTGAATAAATTTGAAATAAAGTAATTATTTATCGAGACTGAAAAGGTCTTTTTCTACTAATACTTATTATGGTCTCTTTCCCACGATCATCTTTTATCTTACTTACGATGTTTTTGTATTGATAAATAAGTTCGAAATTCACAAAAACATATTTGAAAGTTGATCTATATCAAAAATGCACTTAGCGACTGTTTGCAATAAACCCGCGATATTTACAATAGGCACACTTCTAAAATTAGAGTAAAAACTGCAGTTTTGATGAGCCAAAAGTATTGTTTTAAAAATATATTTATTACATGATTATTATGGATAAAACTAGTATAGATCCATTTCAAACATATAGTCCGTGGTACAGACCACTTTTTATCGAATTATTAACATCCTGCCTGTCTATTTCATTAGGTACTAAAAACTAGTAAATATCCATTTGCTTTCTACTTAGATCATAAGATAATTTGATCACAAAATCGATAAAACAAAGGTGGCCTTCAAAAATGTTGAGCCGTTTGGCATGATTTACACCCCAAAAATTTCAAAACAACGAGGTTATATAGGACAAACGGCCCAATATTTTTGAAGGCCACTTTTTTTTATCGATTTTGTGATCAAATTATCTTACGATCCAAGTAGAAAGCAAATGGGTATTAACGAGTTTTTAGTACCTAATGAAAGAGGCAAAGTTTACCCCCTTCCAGGTTGAAAACGCGCCAATTCCAAGAGTTTTCCTAAATAAAATAGTTGTAGTTCACGATGAGATGAGTCTTTTTACGAAGTTTCAGGCGGATGTTAATAAATCGATAAAAAGTGGTCTGAACCAGGGACTAATATGTTTATTCTCTACAACGCTAGCATTAATATTGTGTGTCTTTGGTTTGCCCTATGGTCAAGAATAACATGAAATAGTGATAAATATTTATTAAAAGCTGACGTTTCGGCTTGAAACGTTTGAAACTTTTTATGAAAATAGTGTTTGTGTTTTTTGCGATCCCCTCTCCCCCCCACCCGAAGCAGAAGTCAAAAAAATATTTTTTAGTCTTAAAATTTTATTTTATTTTGTATTTGAAATATTCTAATATTTTACATAAGGTATACATTTATTTTTTATTTTTTATTTTAAGGCTTCAACCATTGGGCTCATTATTGCCACCATACATTTATTTTGAAAATTGTCAAATCAAGGAGAAACAGGTGGGATTCATTAGCAGTTGATCCATAAACTGACACCCATATTGTCAACACAATTAAACCACAGGTAAATAAGCTAAATTAGACGATGGCAGAGAATAATTTTATTAATGTCGCTAACTACTTTACGATTCATTCAGATAAGGTTCATCAAGCAGTAAATTCTGATAATGGGCCTTGCACAAACCAAAAAGGATTAAACTAAATGCTATTCACGATTCTCCTTGCAATGAGAAATATTTTTAAATTTCGGTCACAAATACTTTCTTTTTGAATTGGTTCTGAACAAAATAAATAAATAAAGTCTTTCATAATTACCCATGATGACGCAGAGTTGAGCCAAAAGCTGATCCGTTATCAATTGAACTGTCACCAGCCCTGAGTACGCAGCGAAGAGGCACGCCACGTGACACATCAATGTTTTTCCGTGCAGATTTTGAAGACTGGGGAGGCTGCAGTAAACTAACAAAGTGAGGAGGAGGAAAAACGCAGAGACCATCATACCCACGGTGTTCCACAAAGGTAGGTAAGGCTTTTCCGTCGGTGGAAAACAAAAAAATACAAAGTCTCCATCCTTAAAGAAGCTGATGTTTCCGTTGTAAACATTTTCGACACAAAAAAATCCAAGTTCTGTTTTAGTGCCATCGCGAGCATAGATGGAGCCGTCGAGGTCCAAGTGATAAGATTCCGCCGTCTCTTCCAAATACTTGCCGAATGGACAATCTATGTCGTACCAGTAGGCTGGGTTCCTGGGCGCCACCGGCCTCGGCCTCTGACCGGAGGCGTTGAAGACTTTCATGAGCAGAATAGATCTGTTGGACGGGATGCACTGAGTAGATTCTTCCTCGAAGTAGCTCATCCCTTCCGGGCAACATTTCCTAATACAGGTGTGGTTCTTACAAGCGATCCTCTGGTCTTCACAAGTCCGCACTACCAATTGGTTTTGCCTCTCTGTTCTGTCCACACAAACCTCATCCGGGTTCATCGTATAATTCTTTCCTCTTGATACGAATGTGATCGAAGCAGATTGATGGCGATAAACGTTACCCACCGGAACCAGGTGATCAACGAGTACTTCGTCCCATGGACACTGCGGGGCTCCTACTTCAACGTCGACAACTCCTTCGGCATTGTGCAACAAGACGTTGACGAGAGGGGTCGGCAGCGACGGCTTCTGCTCGCCCCAGCAAGTTTGAAGGAAGGAATCGTACACCCTGTCCACAGGGCAGCACTTCCGCAGGTAGTTGACGCTCGGAACGACGAACTTCTCCTCGTCTGATTCACAATTCAAAGCGACGATCGAGTCAGTTCCGTTGAGGTTGTCGATGCACGAGGCATTGGTGCCTTGGAGGGCGAGTTGGTGAGTGTTGTTGCAGCGAGGAGAAAACCCGAAGGAGAAGTTCATGTAACGCCAGGTGTGAGCGGACTCGAGGCACTCCGCCTGGCCGCCGGAGAGGTAGAGCGAGGACTCCTGCGGGCAGCACTTCTTCACCGACACGACAAGCGGGCTCACCGGAGCGAGCAGCAGCGACAGAACCGCGAGCAACATAACTGCCGGCCGCCGACTGCCGAGCAGCAGCAGCGACAGGACTCCTAGCAGCATGACCGCCGGCCGCCGACTGACGCTATTCCTCTAATAATAGAGCTCACCTTCCTCCCTTCCCGCTTCTTGTTTATCTTGAGGGGATGCTCGCCGACCCCACTAATGAAATTAGAGGCTGATGTGGTTAGCAGTCTGAGGGATATATAATTTTTTTTTACAGAAAATTAGGTCGGGCCACTTCTAACCAGATAATAGTACCCTGTAATTCCACAAACATACTTGAGTTTTTCTTTTAACTGTACAGCTTAAAATAAATTTAATAAAACATGGTTAATAAAGTTTGTAATGTGGTACTTATTAGAAAAAAAATTAAAATTATATAACACATAAGTAATTGATAAAAATGATTATTCAACCAATTCTCCATAATTGAGGCTAAAAATCTGATTTCATTAAAAATAAAATTTACAGATGGCTTCCATTCAAATTCAATATTCATCTTTAAAAATATGTACGATCTATTATTTTAAGAAGAAATATGTTATATATAAAGTATCATCATTAAATCCCAATAGTGATTTCTCATCAATTCATTCATTACCAGTTGCACCAATTTAAACATGATGAATATATGAATATATATATAAAAACTATTTGAATAAAGTTTTTTTTTTGCAGAAAATTTGTTTGCAAAAATAATATTTCACATAATGTTACTTAGCTGGCATAATTATGATTTACATTCAAATATAGGGATGTTTTTCTAAAAAAATCTATACTATAGAAGACACTGCCACCACTAGCCGATTTAATTTTTTTTTGTGGGGGAGGCTTCAGCCCAAAAGATTTCTTTTTCATATAACGATAATTAATTTTAAAAAAAAAGTAAGAAATAAACTATCTATATGAAATGATGTTAAGTGATTTTTGAAGTCCTATTAAATGTAACTACAGGAACAATAATACTTTAAGAGATAGTTTTTAATATTTTTTTCTATAAAACATGGTTATATTTTACCGTTTTGGGAGGGGGGTTCACCCCGAAAGTCTCCCCTCCCCCCGTAAATCCGCCTATGACTGCCATTAATCTCCTTATTCTATAATCTGACAATTGTTAAATTCTTGAAGAACATCTTAAAAAATAATAATTTTATCAAAGCTTTACAGATATCTGACATTTCTACAGAAAAATATAAACATTTTTGATACTTACAATAATTACCACTAAACATCCACACCCAACTAATTTAATATGGTAATGAATGACTTTAATATGTTTTTCTATCAAAGAAAAATATTGATGTTGGAGAAGCTAAGGGTAAAATTATCCATACATTGTTAATTTTTTTGGAATGACTTTTTTAATTATTTGTTTCCAGTTAGTTTTTCTTATGAAGCTCAATAAAACTTATTAAGCTCAATCTCCCTATAAAATTGATAATTTGTAGATGGTTTTTTTATGACTTTTAAAAAAAAATTATTTAGGATTATCAGTTAATTTTTTTTTTTATGTTTGCCAACTTTTCGACCCAAGGAAAGGGATCATCATCCTTAATTGTAATTTAGTAATTGTTAAGTCCTTACTTAACAATTACTAAATGTAGAGTGAATCACTCAATTCATGATCTGACATTAAACAGAAATCTTGCTAGTTGTAAAACCCTAATCATGATCCACAAGCTTTGGACGAAAGAAAAATATTGACTGAAAATCTTGACTATATATCATCCTGTATAAAGCAGATACTTAATAAGTGATTTTAATTTTAAAGCCATTGATATAAATATCATAATATGATTAATGTCATTTTATTACTAGATTTAGGGAAACCTTTTATTAAATGTGAAATATGGTATAGATTGTAAGACTAAATTTGTAGAGGATGGCAACTAAAAAAATTTAAAAAAAACTAACTAGTAAATAATATATGTAATAATTTATTTAAACACCATTCAGTCAGTCTAGTCTCCTCATCATATAAGCAATGAATAAACTTAATTATTACAAAATAAAAATCAATCAATCCAAATTAATGGATGGAAGCCATATCTAAAATTATAAAGTATATTTGTTTGTTTCAGGGTTTCCCCAAACCAAGAGGGCTGGCCTTGACCTTACAATAGTAAAATACTGTTAGCTGATAATGGTTTAAAAATAAAACAATATCCGTGAGAAAGTTCAAGATGTAGCGACTTCTTAAATCTGAGATGTAATTAAGTAATGGGTTGTTTGAATCACTAAAATCAGTCATAATTGAACAAAACAAAAATTTAGAGCAGTGTCTTCTTTATACAACTTTCGCTTACCACACTTATCTGAGTAGAAATTAATACTTGTTCCTGTAGGACAAGTTAATATTTAATTAATATATTTTCAGGTCAATGTCAATTCACTAAAAAATAAATATTTTACGACCTCAAGATTTTCCTTTACAATGCATTTTATAGATAGTTAAGCAAAAGTAAAAAGATAGGATTTAACATGATATTTGTCATTAGAAAAGTTCAAAACAAAATGTTTCTTCTGCTTTCGGTTCATTTTGTTGTCTCTTTTTTATTCCATAGTTTTATCTATCTTTCATCTCCTTCTAGTTACTCAGTTGACCTTTACAAAGATTAAAAATTGACCAAAGAACTCCAAAACATAATTATGAAATAGAAATAAAAATTGATGCATTGCAACTATATTGTAAAAGAATAAAATAAATCACGACCATTTTAAAAACCATATTTAGATAATAAAGAAGAACCTGATCAGAGTATTAACATGGAGAAGGGCCAATAAAGGACTGCTTATAGTTTATAATGGTCAATCAATATCATGACCTCAAGTGAAGAGGTTAACACAATCCATCAGGTGTCCTCTACACAACAATGAATGCCTCAATAGTATACAGGAGACTACCTGGAAGGCCAATAACTGGATGGAGGGAAAATCAACAAAGATGGCGAAGAGCCGTATGCAGATAACTGGAAAGAAATAACCAGAATAACAAAGGTCTGGTTCAAAAGGTCAGATATCAACAAGGTTTATAAAGGCAAAAAAAAAAAAATAAAGAGACAATAAAATTGAAAATATATTACAAGTTTATCATAAAAAATTCCTTAAAATATAGTTTGACTGAAATAAATTACTGATGTTCGCTAGTTTGGTTTGATAGCATGCTCTTTTCTATTACGTTTTCTCTACTTGCCAGCTTAATTTTTGTCCTTAATAATAGCTTTTCCCGCTAAAGTATCCTTGTTCTGTAAGTATATGCGAAATCCATTTTGTAAACAGATCGACAAACATAACTTGTATTTTAGGATAGAATTTTCGTCGAATCAAGTGGCCAATGCAACCTGCTAGTCCAAGCACCGGCTTAATGAACTGAATTCCATACCCAACTCCCCGGAATAGTAGATTTCTAAAAGAAGGTTGACTAAAATCTCTTAAATAGGGAAGATATACATGTTAAAATACTTCTACAAATAGCCTATAATAAATGGGAAGGACCCAGGTTTCAGTATTTCATATTATTTTATATTATTGCAGCTCATTTTAAAAACAAAATACAATAAATATTCTTATTTACATACATTTTCCTAGTTTTCCATTATTTTTATAATGAAAAAATTTATTAGCGATGACATAAGGATAATAATAACTAACATTTATCAACAATATTCTGATAACAATAATAAAATATGATACTTTAACAAGAATAACATATTAAAATTAAAATAAAAAACAAAACAACAAATATTAGGATAAAAACAACAAACTAAAACAGATAAAATAACACTCAATAGCTCTCTAAATGTGTAGGGTTATCTTTTAAAGTAAAAAAATTGTACAAAATTAAATTTAAAACTCTTAACTCTTCTCTTTTTCCATTTCATATTCTTTAGCTACTTTTTTCTCAACCTGTTCTGCGTTTATATCAACCTGAAATACAAATCATTAACAATATAAATAGAATATAAACAAAAATAAAAATGTCTTAGCTCGAAAACATATCATCGGTTTATTGTAAAAAGTTATTAAATAAATTTTTTATAGAACTAAACTTTTAAGTACAATAGAGTGTCGATTATCCGAATTAACGCTGTCAGAGGTGGTGGATAATCGAAATTTGCTTTGAAAAAAAATATATATAAGTATATACTTAAAAGGAAAATGTGAAACAATTAACAACAGTGCACAAAAAGCATGGATGTTTGTTGATATAAATACAAATACATACTTTCATAGTGAAAAACAAATCAAAATCCAACATGTTCATATATATTTATGTGTATGTCAAACAAAACAGTATATTCCAACATTTCACTTTTTGCTTTTTTCATAGTTTATCTACTAGAACTGGCCGTCTCGCTGTAAAGATTGTGGGTGTACTTAGTGAGTAAATCAGAATTATTTTAAAATCCGTTATCGTTGATTTACCAATACCAAACTTGATAACTAATGTCTGACCCGATTCACCCTTTTAATGCTCCATAATAATTTCCATTGTGTCTTTTAATGAAAGAACTCATTTTCTTTTTGTTGACATGCTTTCTGTAATTTTAAAACAAAAAGTGATCACAAATGCGATGTATACCTCACAGAGAATGATTTAAAAATGAAGGGTTAAAACGATTTAAATCTATTACCAACCAAATAAATGGGAAGGGGTTCAAAGAAATAAATGAAGAGACGTAATTAGCTATATGGTTCTCAGTAAACATTGGAATATAGCTAATGAGGATTCCATTGAAGAGTGGAACAGATGGTGACAAGTCCTGAAAGAACTACTCTCGGGAAGTTCTTACCCACCGTCCAGGCAAGACTAGTAGGTGCGGTATGAGTCCTCCCTGATTACTGGGTCTCGCAGGTTCTCAGGTTCTCACAGAACATGGAGGATTCTGGGGAAAACTCACTGGAAGTTTGTGTATGGGTGGAGAGATATGATTGGCCCTGAACATTTCTCCCTGGGAGTGGTAAGAAGACCATATGAAGAGGCTGAAGACCAATGAGGAAGGACCGGACGGATGCAGTGCGGACAAGGTGCGCCTCCATCAACCGTGTACCGGGCCGCACCACAGTTAACCCAATCCAGTTCTGTTCCAAAAATTAAAAATTTACTTAAATCATGTAAATTGAATAATAATAAATTGTTATTAATAAAAGTGTTGCTTATTGGCAGCAGTGGGCTTACGGGGGGGTGAATCCAAACGTATTAACCCACTGCTGCCAAACCCCGTATGGCAGCAATGCCAGGTAGGTAAAAAAAAAAAAAAAATGGTTCTCAGTAAACAAATAGATACAGAAGCCTACGTTCATTTTTTTCCAGTTTTGAGAAATAACCAGGGCTACCCTTTTAGACATTCAAGGAAAAAATCATTTTGTTTTCATTAAATTTTACTTTAAATAATAATTTCAACAATACAAATAAGTAATTAGACCATAAATTTAATTCGTTCTGATAACTAACGTTTGGATAATCGACACTCGACTGTACATTTTTGAGAGTTTTGACCTTATTTATTGATATAAAAACAAAGCAAGTGTATCAAAAGAGTTTGTTCCCCTTTCATATATCTTGAGGTGTGTTTAGACATTTCATAAACTATGGGACAAACATATATATAAATGGTTATTTCACTATGCTACTATTTTTGTTTCTTGTTATAGATATTTTCCATCTGCTGTTGGTATCAAGAGAAATAGAGAAATAAAATAAATAGTTTGGTTTAGCAATAAAGTCTTTGTTAATTAAGTTAGATAACTGTGTTTTCCACAGTTTGTGAAATGACTAAGCGTAACTTAATATATTTACACTTACTGCACAAAGATCTAATTTCACAGAGCGAAAATTCATTAAAGTACTTAGCGACTTAGTTTTATGAAGTGTTAAGTAACTACTTAATACAATAAACCACTGGTAAATAGATTTTTAATCTAAGTTTCATATGTTGTTCATAGTTAGAAAGTTGAGCATTAGATCATATAACGAATCATTGGTTTGAACCACTTTAAATTTTTAGAAATTTTTCTTATAACTACAAAAGATATTGATTAAATGACAAACTAGAACAAAGTTTGGAAAACATTCAATAACACAGTAATTGAAATAATATGTCCAATTACATTAGCACGAAGTTCCTTAAACTTTTCATTTGTTTCTGGTTTTTCCAATCTTTCCATAAATTTTTCTCTATAATACAAAACTGTATCAATGTGTGTTTTATGTCTCACAGCAATTTCCAATGCACTGAAAAATAGTTAACATTTTTAATGTATGTTTTTTAAAATGTTAACAATTAGATAACATTTGTACGATAAATAAGTATCCAAATTGTATGTAAGTAATAAAGTGTTGTTTATCAGCATTGGCAAGCATCACGCATACGTGCAGGGAAGATTGAATGCCATTCTATTCTGAAAGCTTTAAATGATGCCATGAAAGAAAAAATAGTCAACTTCTGATTGAAGAGTTATAATAACTTCAGGCACATCAATGCTGATCTATAACTTAATTAAGAGTGGATGGATTTTGTCAATAATACATAGATTATCCAAAACTACTTGTTGTTTTTTTAGTATATAATTCTCTTAATGTAAAATTTTTAGTTAAAAAAAATTATAGTTCTTTTCTTTAAATAAAAACAAGTACATTTCAATAAGTTTTTGGAATTGATGTATAAAGATGTTCTCTACGTGGGATTCCAAAAAAATTAAAGGCCACTAAGTTAATATGAAGAATTTATGATAAGAGATACGTTATAAGTTATCAAATATAATTAACAATAATAGTAAATCAGTTTTTATTTACATACAATTGTATTTAATAAATTTAATATAACTTCATTATTTTTTGTAGATTGACATAGCTGGAGTACGCCCTCATTTTACAAAGACATGAAAAGGGAAATAAAAGTATAATAAGTGGAGTACATAGGTAAATATAGTATCTCCACCATTTGGTGATTGGGGCAGATTAATGTTTGGGGTCCCTTAAAAAATTAATAAATACAATTTTTAAAGAACAAAAATATTGAAATATTTTTAAAAAATTTATAAAGTTATCATTCAATTAAGAAAAAAAACATTAAAAAGAGACCTTTTTTAATGGGTCCTAAAACGGACTGTTTCTTTGTCCTACCACCTCTTAGTTACATCACTGGCTTAAATTTAACAATTTTTTTAATAATAAATATTTGATGTGTTAAAGGAAGAATTAGTCTGTGGTACAGACCTCTTTTTATCAAATTATTAACATCCACCTGAAACTTCATAAATAGCCTCACCTCATCATAACCTACAAATATTTTATTTACAAAAATTGGGTATAAATTGATAAAAAGATGTCTGTATTACGTACTAAATGCCATGGAACTGGAAAACAGATATTTTATTTTATTTAATTATAAATGTTAATGAAAGATTATTTTTTACCGCTCCCAATTATGAGTATTAATGTTGGACATAATGGCTCTAAAAATCATCCCATTTTGAAGTAAAATCATTTCTGCTTCCTGAATATTCCCGCCGAGGAGTGACATTTCAGCCAACCTCACGGCTTTTATTGGATTTTGCTGCAACAATTTTAGTTAAATATTTTGTTTCTTCTCAATTTGTATACAATAAAGAATATAATAATAGAAAATAGAAAACCTTAATGTGTTGGATATATAATACTTTATCATAAAAGTTAATAGCAGCGTAAGCTGTTTCAGCTGTTTCGATGTCCTTGGCTTGAGTTGCCATAATTGCAAGGCAGGACCATAATGCTTCATCCTACAGAGGAATAATTTTATTATAATACTACTCTAAATAAATACAGTACAATCTTGATAGTATGAGATTCGGACTATTTATTTAACACTTTGGGTATTCTTGCAAGCCCACAATGGAAAGGAAGAGATTTTCTTCCAGTCACCTGGTGTTCGTCATTTCTAATTAGAAAATTGTAGCATTAGTCAGTTATGGTATTAAGTTTTCTTGATAAATAGATATGAACAAAACAAATTTAGCTTCAGATTATTTAGATAAAAATTCCTCAATTTGCAGTGTTTAAATGGGTCCCTAACAGTCCGTTAAATTATATAATTTGACAAGTTATCAGACTTATAATTCTCTGACTATCAAGATTGAGCTGTGATCGCGGCTGTTTTAAATATAAATAATATAGTGCAATCAGAAAACAAAAATGACATAAATTGGTTTTTAACCAATAAGCCTAAAGCCTCTACAAATACGGATGGAAAAATTACTCTGAAACTACTTTAGTCAAATTTAATTCTTCCTCGAGTAGATTATCAATCATCAGCTGAAGCAATGGCTTTGTTTGGTTGGAGCAATTCCTACGACCTGTATTTCAGAAACATAATTGGTATTGAGTAATTAAATAGTTTTTTCCCACCTCTTCCACCAACAAAAGCACTCTCTTAAAACCAATCCATCAGCATTTGTAAACCTCCTGGAACTCAATAACTGAATGGTTCAAGATATACAAACTGAAATATGTACATTAACATGTATCATCCAGAATCGCAGTTTGGTGACTAGAGATATTTCTTTAGTCTTCAGTAACTATAAAGAAGTCTAGTCAGAATTTACAGTAGCCATGTTTTAGCAGAATTTTACTCATTTTCATTTCATTAGAAAATAATCAAAGCTGCGTAGGAGAGCATCCCAAAAGTGCTAGATACAGAGATCGTTGGTTACACTCATCAAGTTCCCCCAGCTAGCTCCGGTCCGAATTTAGAGCATTTCTATGCCATCAAGTTTTAAATGTGTTTTAAATCAAGTGTTAAATTTGGGAAATATCCCTGTGTGACCTTTTAAAAGTTTGAAACAGGCCTATGGGGAATATTCTTTATCAAGAACACAAGTTTTCCTCCAGGACAAATCATTTTTGAAAGGCCGAGAACATGTTAAAGACGAACCTTATTCAGGGAAACCTTCAACTTCTGAAACTCTTAAAATTGCAGTATTTTACAAAAGATATTTTTAAAAAGTTGAGGAAAAGGACATTGCATTTCAGAACAGACATTGCAGACAATTGGACAACATCCCATTTCACACAGCCATTTCCATCACGAAATTTTGGACAACAAAACACAATCCTTTGTTCCCCAGCCTCCTTATTCATCTAATCTGAGTCCTTGTGACTTTTTTCTTTTCCTTAAATTGAAAAATGTCTTTGAAGGACATCATTTTGAGACTCTGAAGAACACTCAAAAGAATGTGAACGACTTCTTAGAGGCCCTCCCAGATGGAAATTTTCAGCTTTGCAAACAAAACTGAGAAAAAAGACAGAGCTCATGTATAGCTGCTAAAGGGAACTACTTTGAAGAGAACAATATTGTTGTACTTTGATACATAAAAAATTAGTCTCATTACTTTTTTTACACACCTCGTAAATCAGGCCAACTCCTCTCACACACGTTAGCATATATTCTAGTATTTCCGAAGGGCCTGATACATTCTCCGTGTTCTAGTACTCTAGATAGTTTTTTAGTTATTCAATTAATCAATCAATCTCTGCCTGATTATCAGTACATAATACAATCTCTGCCTGACTGTCGGTAGACAACACAATGAATCAACCTCATAGCCCTTGAGATGAGATAGAAATAATGAGAGTAAATTTTCCAAGTGGAATAAAACCATTATCTAGTAGGTTGTCCATCTTGCAAACAAACTCTTACTGAAAATTTAATCTAGCAATTGAGGCCATTATGGAGTCCATGTTGTTTAGACTGATCAATCTTAACACAATATTATGTGCACCTAAATTTTCTGATCAGAAGATTTTGTATTTCTTAGATCTTACTGAATAGAACTTCTGGCTGAAAAACTTCACCAATTACACCTACTTAATATGAATATATTAAATCGGCTTTTTACATTGAAATTACAAAAAGTACTGTGCAAGTCAACGTGTTAACTAAGTAATAGAGATATAAATAGTATTGAATTAACAATTTTATTATTTTTACATTTGCTTACCTATATATGACATGTATAGTAAGAGAAAATATTGCTATCGTGAAAATTTTAGAATCCGAGATTTCAACGGAAATACACTTTTTGAGGTCCCCTAAGTCCAAATAACTAAGTCTCACAAAATAGTCTGTGTGTGTGTATGTGAACATTCCAGCACAAAAACAAAAAGTCTTACGAAACTGAAATTGTGTTTTCAAGGTTTGTATATGCTTGGGATGTTACACCAACTTTTTCCTTAAAATCAGTTAACCGGAATCGCCCCTTTATATCAACGGTTATACACATTTTTCTCAAAAACGGCTATAACTATTTTGATTAAACTCGATGAGTCATTGTATAATTAAGTTGTCTTTAATGCCATTTAGGTCTTATTCCCGTTGATGTCACTTTGCAGTGCTTAAATATCCAATGTTCAAACATGTCTTCCTCTAAAGTTCCTTGAATTTGGTTTATTTTAAATAATTAACTATTGTTGGGACTTATGAAAAAAGGCTAAATATAACTTTTGAAAGAATTTTATAATTTAATAAAGGAGAAAAAAAAGAAAAATGCTTATCAAGGTCGAAAATGAATCTCTGGAAATAATAGTCAGAAGGTATAGGTACAAATTTTTTAGGAAAGCAGAGAGTTTTAGAAACAATAATATCTAATAAATAAAGTTGCAGAAGGTAACGGAGAGTGATGAAAAAAATATAAATAATAATTTCTGAAAAATTAACATTTTTTATGGTAAATCACATGTTTCCAAGTAAATTAAATGAAATTTTCTCACTAAATATAAACGTTTAAAAAAAATTTAAGTTTGAAGAAAAATATTTAAAATCCACCGCGTAAAGGCAATGGCATTGTTTAAAATGCTACTTCATTGTACTTGTTTGAAAGAAGTTAAATGTAAAAATAGTTCATGGATATGTTATAGATTTATTGTTATAGATTTATGGATACCTTATATAGATTTATTGTAGTTTAATCACTACAGATTTGATTTTATATTTAAATAATTAGGTATTTATCGTCCATTTATTCCAAAAAATAATCATGTAAATTTTTAGAAAATTAAATTAGTGAATAATTTGATGGACTTCCCCTTTTTGAAATCCCGACAGTATCCATCTACAGTTAGTGTGACAACTTTAGACCTATCTATGTCAGGCAATACAGATCTCGTAATTCCATTTTAGTAAACTTTGCAATGGAAAATAACAGTTTAATAACTAATAGTTGTACAATCCATATTCAACCGTTGATATAATAAATAAAATTTTTGTTATTTTAATGGTATTAATGATTTGTTAGCTGTAAGCTTTAAGCTTTAGCCCAGTTAAAAATGCAGTTAAAAAATTTAAAAATAGCCTAACATTGCCAGGAAATAATTTCTATTCGAAGTAGAGCGGTAAGTGAAAGTAGTGCGTCGCGCACACCAGATTTTTTTTTTAAGATTTTGTTTAATTCATACAAACCTAGCAGTCAATTCAAAGTCTTGAATAATATAAAAAAATTAGAGAAAAAATTTTGCACAGTGGATACATACAATAAATACAAACCATTACATTAACAGATGACTTGAACAAATCAAAAGGATTTCAAGTAGTTACATTTGTTAATTCAATATTGTCAATATAAAAATTTATAATACAATATTATCTCAATAAAATAAAAAAAGTATATATATATATTGCTTATTATATGTCTTTCTCCATCACTTCTGTATAAAAATAAATAAAGAAAGAAAATTTAAAATTTATTCAAGGAAAAAGTGTAAATTAGTATCGAAGATGTATTTATAAAATGCTTATTAAAAAAAAAAGAAAAAAGAAATTGGCATTACTGACCTGAACCATCCTACAAAGGCGGAGCGCCTCCTTCCAGCCGTTGGTAGAAGCGTAACCATGGAGAAGCCCGACGTATGGCGATACCCCACTGTTAATTATTGCCCCGTCAGATCTTTGGATCCCAATGTAATTATCTACGAAACTCATCAGTCTAGGTCGATGTCCAAACTCACTATTTATAGAATTATTTCAGCTTTAAACAATTATATACATTATTTTTTTATGCATAAAACTAGTTATTTGAAAATTAATATTTTAGTTATTATTGGATAAAATAAATTAATAAAAATGGAAAATTATTAAATAATAAGAATCGATTGACTGTTGATTGTTGGTTTCTCCAGGATTTAAGCTCACTAAACAGTAGCCATCACCTTTTTTTGATGAGTTGGGGACTTTAGTAAATGTTCTACTGCTTCTACTTTGTCGAGCCACTGTCCAGAACCTCTGCTGTTATCGCAAAGCATCCACTTTTCATCACAAGTAACAATTCTGGACAGAAAAGGGTCGTTTTTGTTTCGATAAAGAAGTATAGCACAAACTTTTTGGTGGTCGTTTAATGTGTTTCAAGCTTTTTTACCTTTCCAATCGCTTTGATATGACCATCAATAGTCGATTTGCTAAGGCTAAGTTTCTCTGCAAGTTCTTGAACAGTTTTTCTGGGGTTTTCTTCCCCCAAAGCTTGCACATCATCAAGAGAGGAAGTCCTTCTATGACCTTCTTTGTCTTCATGGCTGAGGTCTCCCTCCGGGATTTTTTTTTAATCACCGTTGAACAGTGTACTTATTAATGCTAGACTAGATTGATGTTTCTGGCTATCTCGGCCCCATTCCGGCCGAGTTTAAACTCGTAAAACAAAATTATACGAAAATCACACATCTTAGTAAAGACTGAACTATTTCTAAGCAGCGAAAAGCTACAAAGGTAAACAAGCATTATCGTTTGAAAGAGGATTAATAAGTGCTGACATTCATACAAATGAATAATCCAGTAAACGTAAACAGTTAGTTATATAGAGAGGTATTTTAAAGAAAACTCAAAATCCTGCATTATTTTCCAGACAACACAATAGAATCATGTAGAATGTTGAAATGAACATCATTTGAAGCTTAATAAGAAAGCTTCAGGCAGTCATTCAAGCTTAAAGATATAATCAACTTTGTAGCCTACTAATTAGGTTGTGTCATTCATTGTTTGTGCAAAGCAGTAGAGGAAACAAGGCTTACCGTAAAGATTTATTAGAATAAGCTTGGATACCAATGAGGAAGATGTGACAGCTAAGTATGTTAAGGCGAGGGTTCAAGTTAAAATTAATGTCCTCACTCTCAAAATGAATGTTTCGTTTTCTATGGTATTGCTTACTAATGTTTTCTAGACAAATATCCTGATATTATGAGGGTCTTAATCATTTTTCCTTTATTTTTTAAAGTTTTCATTCAATTTATATAATTAGATACTTAATTTAGCCTAAAAAGAAACAATAATTCATGAATATATTTAATTCAATCAAACTCTAAATGAAGACCCCAGAATAAACTTATTTTGTGTGAAATCGCAAAACAGATTTGTTTTTTTAATGATATCCCTTCCACCACAAAAGAAAAGGTCTATTTTAAGGATGAAGAGGAGTTGGTTGGGGTAAGCAGTCACAAGTAAAAAATAAATCTAGTTCGCATATCACACTTTATCACGCATTAGAGAAGCCGCCAGCATCTAACACTGTAGCACAGCCAACTGCTAGAAGATGGTCTAAGCCTATGAAGGAGAAGACACAAACCAACATAACTATTTCTAATCACATCAACAATGGAGAGTAAATACTTCAAGAAGAACCACAACACCTATGGTCAAAATAAAATGACTATGATAAAGCCAATAGTTTCAATCGGGTGTACACCAAAAGGACTTTTTAAAAAGGAAATTTATCTTGTTTAACGATTCTTTTAATAAAACACAGCTTACTTGTGAGATAGGAGATATAAGTTTTTATTCTAATTTCAAAAAGACTTAATTTTCGTATCTGAAAACTATTGTTATCTAATGTTATAGTTGTTTAAAAGAATGTTTAATGATGAAGTAACTTGTAACTTGTAATAATTTTAATTTTTTTTTTCTTAACCCCATTGGATGTGATGTTGAGAAAGAGGGTGGGTAGTTTGAGGATAAAACATGACCTCTTTTACTGCAAAGGGTGCATTTTAAGAGAGGGGTGTGGAATTGGAAGTACTGTGGTTATTTGTAGTTATAGTGTGTCTTAGTCTAGCGACGGGGATCAGTGGTGTCCTGTAAATGTCAATTAATTTTCTCAGCCTAGTAAAAGGTTTTTAATGCAAGTCTGCCATCTCATAGATTTGTGATTAAGCGTTTTAAAAAGTGGGTTTTTTGAGTATTTAAGGCTATCAAAGAATTTGATAAGCTTACGTGTAATAAAGTTGCCCACCTTCGTTAATTCGAGGGTGGTATATAGTATTACTGAAATAAGTTTTATTGTTGAATGATCTGTGACCTAGTGGCTGGAGAGGCGCACTTAGCGCCCTCTGGCCTTACTTTTTGTAAACTAATTCATTCTTTCTGCAAGAAAAAAAGTAGAAACAAACATAAGGGTGTGTAGCAGCTACATGAGTAGAAATAAATATTTTAATATACAGGTAAGTGAAAGTAAAAATTAAAAATAAATAAATTACATTTATTTTTCCCGACATTTCGGCCCAAGGTTCAGGCCTTTATCAGGACTGTGTTCTCACAAAGCGATCTTACGCAAGACGGGTCTTGTGTAGATATTGCATAGGAGCCCTCCGTCAGAACATTGCCCTGATGAAGTGTTCTAACGAAAGTCTCCTCCCCAAGACAGGTCTTGCGGAAGAGCCATTCGTGATGAGAACAACTCCTTATGCCAACCAACTCCTCTTCATTATATTCACGGCAGTCAACAATTAATCCACTATTTTAAGGAGGGTTTATTTAATTTATCAAAATTTCAAAAAAGATCCCCGAGGATTTTCTATTTTTAATCAATTGTCCAAGATCGGCATTGGTCTGCAGAGAACTGTGCTTTCCATTAAAAAAAAAAAAAAATTCTTCAAATCCGAGCCCTAGTAATTAGTGACATTTTTTGGAAAAATTAAATCAATTCTAAAAGTGTTTCAAAATGATATATTTTTAATATTTTTCTTCCCTTTCATTTACATAAACTCGTTAGCTAGTTCAAAACTGAGTTGATAGAAGTGCCAAGTGATGAAACTGCTTTATAATGGATAAAACTTCTTTAAATTAATTTTTTCCAAGATCAGAAGATGTAAATATTATCTTTATCCATTTGACATTTCAATCATGGAAACTATTTATATTCATAGTTAATATTTAAGTGAAAGAATTATCACAACCTAGAATTGCAAACATAGTTTGTTCGTACAAAATCCCTTTTTTGATAACAAATACATTTTAGTTGAACTCATTTTGTTATTAATAATACCAGTAAAAAGATATTTGAGACATATTGAGTCTCTAAAATAATAATATTCATAGTTACAATAATATCACCTTGCATCCTTGATAACAGCTGTTTTCTTGGTCATTCGCTTATCAACAAATAATATAAAAGGATAATACCACAGGATGAGAGATGAATCTTGCATTGCTGCTATTATATTCAAGGCAGAATTCCATTTAAATGATTGCACGATACTTCCTAAATTAAAATAAAAAATATAGTTTTTAAAAACCAAATATAACAAAATGTATCAATTGAACCAGAGAAATCAAAACCACACTAATTCCAGCTATCAATTTTTTTCAAGAGAGAAGAACCAATAGCTCTTAGAGTAATCTTTTTAACGGCAGAAATTAATTGAGAAAGTACAAAAAAAAATTGCTTTTACAATACAAGAGATGAATCCACAGAAAAATTAGTATTTTAATTTAATTTATTAGTTTCCATATTAAAAGGTCCAAGTGTTAGGCAAACCATTAAATTTAGAGATTTACTTTTGAATGGAGAAGTAGTTCATTCATTATCACAAAGCAGATGGCAGTCAGATGCCATGGAATAATCTTTTTGATTTTGAAAAAAAAGAATATCAGAACAATTTTTCAAGAAAACAATTAAGAAATGCAATAATTAACTATTGCCAATATATTTTTAATAAATAATATTTCTTTTTAAATATAATTTTTGTAAATGAAGTTTCTCCTGTTCAGTGATATAAATTTTTCACTAACCCAAAAGTTTTCATTTGTAAGAGTTTACTGTAAACATTAATTAATGATCTAACAGATGATTTAGTTAATAACAAAAAATTATTTATACTGGTATAAATAAATACGAGATTACAATATAATATAATTTAAAATCTTATTTTAACATTAAATACTCTTGTTGAAAAAAAATAATACCTAGCTTGTCTATTCTGCGGAAAGCAGTCGGCCTTGTGTAAACTGTCGATATGAACAAATCCCTGGTTTTATCGACAAAAGCCAAAAGAATATCCAAATTTGTCTTTCCCCCTTGGCTTAAACCAACCTCCATGACACCACAGCTATGCTGGATAGGTCCTCCGATGTCTTTTCCACTTATATCCAAAACCTGGATTACTGATTCAAATTGTCTAATTAAAATGAGTTTTTTTTTAATTTAATATAAATAATCTATCAAACTATTATTCATAATAGCTTCACCTTAAATTTTGTTCCAGTTATCACGTATATAAAATTTATTATTTTTAATTTATTATAAAACAAATAATATAATTCAAATGAACTAAAATCAAGTCTCAATTTGTATGAAAGAATTTCTTTCAGATAAAGATATCCTGTATCTTAATTAAAAAAAGCTCAGCTCAAGCATTTAATTAAGATATAGTCCTCTTGGGTTAGTTCAAAATATGTAAAAATTGCAATGCATATTTATAGAGCTCATAGAAATACCTCAGGAATAGCTAATCATGTTTATAAACAGTTACCACGAAGGAATTTATTATATAACATTTTAAATATAACTTGACTTACATCTCTCATCAGCTTGATCCCTGGCAGCAATGGTGTCCGGCCCGAGGGTGATATGGGAGGGGTTCAGAGTAGCAGTGTTCAAGCTGGCCCAGCGAGGCGAGGACAGCAATCTACCCTCAAAGTTGTAAACGCTTAAACTGGTTCGTTCGACTAATACTAGATGCCTGAAAATCAAAATGATTGAATTATTTACAAGTGAAAACAATCACTATTATATGCATAATATTTTAAAAGAGCTAGTGATAAGAAATATTTAAATAAGAAATAGAGATGTAACATAAGATGGACTAACAGCATCGATTGATAGATTCTCAATAAAATTATTAAATTTCCAGCTGACACACACGTTGATGTAAAAGGTACATCATGAACCGACTTTTTTCGTATAGGTGAGGGCTGTGTTTGTCAACTTTATCAATACATCTCTATTTTTATTCAAAGAAACAGCTATTTTAAAAAATTTATTTTTTTTTATTTTTCCTGTTTGTCTCTGTTTATCCGACAGGCAAATATATTTAACCACATATAGTACCTACATTATAAACCAATCTGAATAAATACAATTTTAGTTAAAAGAGCTAATAGGATATTTTTAATGCTCATGTTAAGATTGGGTATTGCAGGAAATTGTTTTTTTATAAAATATTAGGAAAATATTGTTTCTTTGGCATTTAAATAATTAGTGTTAGTTTGTTTCTTGAAATTTCATGCCAAACTTTGATGTAATGGATGATGTTTTTAAGAACATTAATTAATATTGTTTTGATAAGTCTTTAGAAAAATAATTTAAAATTAATATTAATGGTACACTTAATATAAAATATTCAGTGTAGCAATTAGGTGATATGATAATGATAGCATTTCTTGTAATAACATCAAGCAAAAAGTAAATATAATCAATGTTTTATCCACCGCGATTGATCCCTGACAACCATATCCTTCATTTACATACAATTAACTATCAACATTGATCCTTGAGAATCATATCCTTCATTTACAATTAACTATCAACATTGATCCTTGACAACCATATCCTTCATTTACAGTTAACTATCAACAATTATAGCAAACACAAACTTACTTGTCTGAAAGAAGTACATTAGAAACAGATCCTTCTCGCAAATCAATAATAATTGGAGTGTTAAAATTAGAAGTTGAATAAATATATGCTTGTGTTGTAGTTACAACGACCAGGTGTTTATAGGCTAAAGCTAGATGTATCACTCTTTCAGAAAATTCTAAAGCATCGCTTCCGTCTGATAAAACATCATGAACAACCACACTTTTCCTCCCGGTAGTTAGGCCTTCAAATTGTCCCCATTCTACTTTGCTAAAAATAATAATTGTTATTAGACACCTCAATCGATAATGAAATATAAATAAATTGAAAATATATTGGTATATAATCACCGCCCAATTATATGAGCTAATAAAAGTTTGTGATTAGCACATCCTGCAGCCAATTGCGTTCCATCGGTCGACCACGCTATACAGTAAAGACTACCAGTAGCAGGCTTCTCCAAGCAATGCGACCACTAAAACAGAAATGGATGGCAGAAAGAGATCAGGTTTAATAAAATACTCCCGACGCGAGACAATTTATCAAAGTCTATCACTATGACAGCAGAAAAGTACTGCATTATCTTAATATAAAGCGAATTGAGTAAGTTTTTTTTTAAATTAAACTTATATTTAAATGTAACTTTAAATAAATATTTTTAAAAATGCATAAGACTCACTCCTGATTTGTCGCACAGACGAATCGTATTGAATGATCCAACAGCAAATAGATCACCACTCGGTGACCACGCAAGTGATGTTATCGAGTGTTCATGAAGTAAACTTGAAAATATTGGAGTTCCATACATATCCCAAACCTAAATAGATATGTTTTTTTAAATATAAAAAGCTAAAAAGTAAATTAATACATTTCTTAAAATTGTTTTGTTTACTTTATACCGACAATCTTCTCCCCCTGAGATGATCCTACCATTGACATGATCCCAGGCGACTTTAAGTATCAAACCATCATGAGCTTTCCACTAGAAAAATAAATGAAACAAGATTAATCTTAAAAACTATAAAATAATTTAAATCAATAATACAACATAATTCTTTAAATCAGAGGTTTTCACCAATTTGGGTTAACGGAATCTTTAAGAGAATTTAAATATTTTATGAGTCCTAATAAATATTTAATAGCCCTTCCTTTTAATTGTTTACAATTTATATTCCTGTAAGCTTTTCTTTTTGATTTGAAATGACAAGAAAAAAAATTACTGTTATTTTAATAGTACTTCTTTAAACAAAAATGACAAATAAATAAATAAACAGTAATTTTATTATCAATACCGATAACACAAATGGAATCTACATACTTTTGTACACCATCTCTCCAAATCCAACTCCACGAGATCAGCCTTAACCCAATACTTCTTCCTACATTTCACTGTTACCAGTTGGTGCAGTGCCTATTAACCTTATAGGAATTCATTCGGTGTCAAGTCCAACAATTACACACACCCATTTTGATTTGTCACAATTTTACCACCTGAATTATATATATTGAGTAAATTTTATACATTTCATTGTATAGATGTCTAAAATCTCATGTTAACTCATCTTTTAGTCCATATATTTTACTAGGCAATAATTTATTTTCAAAAACCTTAGTACATTCATTTCATTTCCATTAAAGATGGCAACATTTAATATTCCTAAGATATAGTTTGGTAAATTCTAATTTTTAAGTTCTGTGTCAGAAGAGGTGAGGTGAGTGAAGTTAAATAATATACTACTGATAAATAAAAGCACTTCCTGCCTTTAACGTCGTCTTAATTTCTTCTTTAATTTCTTTAGATTTTCTTTATTTGTTTTAGATTCTCTATGGAATAGAACCTATTTGTTCAAATGTATTCTCTTCTATGTCAATATCACCGAAATCTTACTATTTCTGCAGATAACCATATATTTAGTCAGATCCCTCTTAATTTTCAATTTCAATTCATTATTAGCTTTGATCAAAATTATTGTTTTACAAAAAATATCTAAATAAATTAATAAAAATAATTATTGTTTAAGAAAAATTAGTACCCGGTTGGATTTTGAGTTAGGCGTCAAAGGCTTAATTACTAAATGTTTTCCTTGAGTGTATAAGACTTGAGTAGAATCAGAACTCCAAAAAGCACTGTAAACGGGAACACCAGTACCTTGCACGGCCAATGACCTCAACATACCACTTCTAGACCAGATTTTCAGATTTCCATCTTCCCCTCCTAAACCAGAATTACTTTATGAGAAGGTTATTTAATAAAGGTTATAAAATCAAAATATTCAATTTACATTAAAATTTGGCAGGACTGAGCAATTTAAAGTAAATAAGAGATAAAAATAGTAAATGTTTTAGGGAAAAGTAATATCAAATGATTAAAATATAATCATTTTAGTAGTTTAATGATAAATTTTTTTAAACAGTAGGCATTTTGGCACAGAAATAAGCAAAACAAAGTTGAGAAAATCAGAATGTAATCAATAAAAAAAATTTTAAAGTAAATAAAACAGGAATTGAATGAAATGTGGCACATTACTTAATTAGAATTAATATTTCCACTTGGTCTTGTAGGAATAAATATTGGAAACTTGTATTACAAGGATAAGAAATATATTTGGATAAACTAAATAATGATACTAGAATAAAAATTTGCCTTTGCCTTTTCCTGGTAATGAGCAGTTGACTGATCTACGGGTGTATCATATAAACAATAATATACACATATACTTATTGGGCTAAGAAAAATGGAGTCATGATTTCCATTATCGATACCCTTGAGTATTTTTCACCCAAGAGATAAAGTAAAAAGAAGAAAAAAAAGACTACTAAACTTCATGTGAATACTATTCATCTGCAGGTACTGGTATCAGTAGGAGGAACTTGTCCACCAAATGGGTCTATTGTTCTTTTCAGCCAACCCTTAAAAAAATAACTAAAAGTTGCTGCTCTCTACTAACCAGAGCAGGAGTGACAAGATTTCTGTCGCACCACCTCCATGAAATAAACATTAACTAAATCATGAATGAAATCCAACTAAAAATCTCCAAACAAAAGATCCATGGAATCTCGTTCCAACGTTCTTGATTATCATGGCATCTATCCTCAAGAGTGTCTGATTCCTTCTTACTCCAGCAGTGAATTAACAACCTACTACAGAAATGTGAGTTATTGGAAGATTAAGGTGTAAAACCTGTTGGTTCTTAATATCTTATTTATTTTGATACAACAAATAACTGGATAAATGGGTTGGAAAGATAAATAACAGCAAGAAGAGAATAAAATTAATACAGCAGAAATATATATATATATAAAACCATCTCTTCCACTTTGTGCAGGAGGGAGGATAAATGAGAAAGTGAGTAATTCGCAAAAGTATGGGAGGAAGAAGCGTTGATTTGTAGATCACCATTTTGGTTTCTTTGTCACCTCTATTTTACAGAGAAATACCATTAAAAAAATAATTTTCTCCCAGCTGCTTCATTTCTCCACCTCATTAAATATGTATTTTACCTATATATTGAGAGCTGTTATACTAAATAATTATATCAACATTATAAAAACAAATCAAAATTGAAATCAATCACAGAACTTCACAGTAGTCACCATTAGCTCATATCAGTTAGTCAATGATTAAGAAACCTTCTTTAAAATAAAATATTGATTAAACTTAAAAAGTTAATAATAATAATTTAACCCGTTAGAAGGCTTGAGCCATCTGGACTCCATTGTCCGACTAAAACAGCACCTTTATGGGCATCAACACTCTTCTCTATTCTTCCACTTTTACCAACAAGATGAAACCTTCCTAATAAACATATTTACAAGTTAAGACACAATAAGACCAATAAAAAAACAAACAAAAACACACATAGAAAAAAATACCATCAGATGAGGTTATTAAAAGTTGTTCTTGAGTTTGTTTTCTTCCTCCAATATTCCTAGAGAAAGAATGGAAATCCAGGGGAAATACTTCATTGGGAAGTTCACAAACTTTTTGGGAATCACCAGTAATAAGGTTCCATTTCATTAATAAATGATCATCCCTACAAAAAGAACAGATGTAATTTGAAAAAAAAAAGACTTCTAAATCATAACTTGTCTTGATTTATTCTCTGCAGGAGTCACCTTACCCACAAGAAAGAACTTCTTCAGTGTTATTCCATGAAACGCAGCTAACTATGTCAGAATGTTCAGCGTACCTTGGAAATTCTATTTTCAATTGCATGATAAACAAAAAGGAAACAAAATAATGTTTTAAAAGCCATCAGTTTACAGGCATCTTTGTTGCTTGGCAACAGAAATACAGGACAAGAAATAGAAGAGGGTTATTTAAACGATAATTTTAGGGATAATATTTTAAATAATTTAAAATTGACATAAATTAATAGTCAATTGGAAATTCAAAACTAGTAAATGCTTCAAAATTTTTATTTCATAATTTTCTGGTAGAGATTATAAAGTTAATATGTTGGTCAGAATGACAACCAGTGGCTGGTCAGGTTATATTTACATATACCAGTGGAGAGGTTACATTAGGATGTTAACTTATTTTACATTGTGCATTGTTACTATTAAAATAAAAATATTAAAATTAGAATAAAATTGAAAGAAGAAATGTAAACACAGCTATGTTGGTTGACTTAGTGAACAAATATTTGATTAGTGAAAATGTAAAAGTTGGAAATAAAATTAAAACCTTAAATTATGAAGAAGTTGTTTATTCAGATTTTTATAGTAACTACCTACATCAGAATGTACCATGCATTATAAAAAATATAACATCAGATTGGGAGTGTCAAAAAATGTGGGTGCGAACAAATACACCAAATTTAGAGTACTTGGAAACAAATTTCGGTATGCATTTGCCAATTATTGAGTTTATTCCACTATTATTTACCTACAAATTTGATAATTTATCAATTATAGTGATAAAGACATACGTGATGTTAAATAATCTAGCACTGCATATTTATTAATTAGTTATAGGCTCAAGATAATGGTTTTGAGAATTAAATTACTAGAATAGTATATAAAATATTTAGAAACAATATTGTTTTATTTTAACCTATTGAATGTTAGGCTTGTAAGTTAGTTTCTGAAGTTGGATTATTAAATTACCTTGATCACAATCACTAATGATTTAATATATATTTATATATATTATTTTGGTTTAAAACATACTTTAAGACATAATATATATATATATATATATATATATAATATAATATATATATATATATATATAGATATAATAGATCCTGGAGAGGTGCCCATTCGGGACGCAGGAGGATCTTCAGAAGCTCTCGCAGCTTGTAAGAAATAAAATAAAGTTATAAAACGTATTAAAATAAATAATTGAAATCTACCAATAAATCAATTGTATTAGAGAAATATTGAATGCAATAACATTCAAATGGGACAAAGATGCCAGGAGGGGGACCGAATTTCAAAGTTCTGCATTGCGTACATCTATCTTAAATTCAGTTTATGTATATATTAGTTCAATAAAAGGTCCAAGCGATTTCTTTAAAATTTATTAAATTTTATCTCATAAAATCTCAGGTAAAACAAACAACATAACATCCATTCAGATAAGAGATAAATAAATCCCTCACATAGTATTTGACCTCTGTTTCAGGTTGAGATCTATTAAACAGGTGTAATTTTCATCGAAGGAGAGGTCATAATTTGATATATTGGTTTTAAAGAATATATGAAATGAATCAGTATACTTGTAATGATTATTAAGTAATAGTTTTAACGGTCAATATGTGGATGGGTAAATACATAAGAGATAAACAACCAAACAAAATTTGATAAGAAGTTATATTTTTCTTAACAGATTTATTGGTTTAAAGAAATAAGTTTCAAATGGTTAACTAGCCTGAATTTTCAATTTGTATTTGTAGGTGAAAATTAGGTAATAATAACAAAAATGCAAAATGTCCTGTATTTTTTTTTTATGCATATTTGAAAAAATAATTAATATTAAAGATAAGTGTAGGGAATAGAGCTATATCTATGAGCAGAGACACAGCTACGTCATGTCCTTTCAGTGTCTAGGTCATTCCGTTGGATATCTTAAACATATCAGCTTATACTTTTGTTTTCAGTTTGAAATCTTACGTCACAGAAATATCTTTCTGTTTTTTGTTTTCATAACACCCTATCATCTCTAAGTAAAAACATTTAGTTGGAAATGTATTTCAATAGCTTTTATAAATAAATAGAATGAACAGTCGCCCTATGATTGACTCCAGCTCCTCTTCTAGTCCCCACTACAACTCCGCAATGTTATTTTAAGTTTTTTGCTAAATATGAACATTTTATTATTTTAAAAATTGTAATCTCAATCTTATATATGTTCATTATAACTCGATGTTATGTCATGCAGGTATTTAATTCAATCACATCTACTTCTGTTTTAATTTGTTTTAACTATCTTGAAATAAAATATGATATATTTTTTCCTACATCGCGTCTTAATTTGGCAGGAAATGCAAGCGTACCTGTTGCCAACTGTAATGAAAAGTATTACAATTCTCATGCAAAAACAACCATGCTATTAAGAGACTACATTAGTTATTGGCAAAAATATAAAAAGTTTCCTGACAATAACCAATGCTTATATCTCAAGGTGGTAATTAGTCTGAAATTATTTTGTTTAAAAAAACAAAAAAAAAACTTTATTTACCAATGCTATATAATAATTTATTTTTTTTATTTTAGGATTGGCATTTTTTGAAAGAATTTCCTGATTATGAGATCTATCGTGTTCCATTAATGTTTGCATCTGATTGGCTAAATGAATATTTATTGAGCAAGCCTGATTTTGATGATTATAGATTTGTTTACATGGGCCCAAAAGGCAGTTGGTAATATCACTTTATTGTTTATTTATTTTTGGAAGATATCTTGTGAAAAACAAGTTTATTCAATAAAAGTGGATAACTTATTAACACTAAATGATGAAACCATTTTTCAAGTTTTAGAAGAGTTTCAATAACGGACTATGTCATCACAATTGAGAAACTTTTGAAACTGCAATTTATAACTTTCTTTTTAGATTGTATAAAATGTGATGGTGACTTAAACTAAATCTTGACTACTCATTTATAATCATTTAAATGGAATAATAATAATAAACTTAAATTAATAACTATCTTTAAGGAAATTAATTACTTCTCATCCAAGCTTTCCTTTATTTCCCTCATTGGTTTTTTTCTGAAACAAGAATCAGTCAGTGGTAAATTTGCTTGAAAACTTAAAAATCATTTTTAAAAAATAAATAAATATGTATATTTTTACTGTTTTCAAAAAAAAAAAAAAATATAAAGTTATTTAATATATTTATTTTAATTGAACATTATTGATAACAAAAATAATGTAAAAATAGATGTGATAATTTTAGAAATATAAAGTAACCTATAAACACAAACAATCTCAAATGATTAGTTCTCAAAAATTACTGTATATTAATTCTGTTGCATAAATAAATCTGCCTAAACATAGACACAAACTTTCCATTTCAGTTGGGGAGGAGAGGGGCAAAGTAATGTTCAGTCTGGAGTTTATATTATGTATGAAAATTATGAGTGATAATAAACATAATTATAAACAATATAATAATATGTATTAAAATAAATTTATATTAATGTTTATATATTATCTTTGTTTTTTACGTAAAGATATATTTGAGAACATGTTAACAAAGCTATTGAATATATTACATATATTTATGTTTATTTAACACGTTAGCTGCTGAGCAGAGCATATCTCTTAAATTTCTTTCCCGACGATATCAGTCCCCGGCGACCAACACTAGTTATGAAGTTCCTAATGGCATCGGAGACATGCTTTAGTTTCGAGGTATACCGCTATTTTTTGACAACAAAGGTGAACTAAATTCTCTATTCAGAGTCTCTATCTGTTGATTGTGTCATTAATGGCCAGCAGTTGTAGGAGTGGACTCCAACGTCCAATGCCCTTTATATGACGAGTTTTTTATTATTTCCCTTTAGCTCAGTAAACAAGTGTTATTTTTGGGGATATTGGAAATGAAATGAGAAAAAGTTTATTTATCACATATAATTATAATTTTCAAAATATAATTTATACATTATTTATACATTTATGTTATTTATTATTTATGCATGTTAAATAAGCGAGGGGAACAGTCTAAGATGAACTGTCAAGAACTACTGCTCAACAGAAGCCCGAAGAAAACAAAACCATACATGTGCACTGTCCTGCCATGCCAGGAATATTATGTATCGGAAACCGAGAGGTGGTACCGTAGGAAGATGATTTTTTATTGGTTCCCACCATTCGAAAAATTTTTGTCACATATAATGATTATTTATGCTCCTATCTTTACTTCTATCCAACTCTCATTCAAATATTTTTAAAACTTTCCATTTTAGAGACTTCGTAAGACAGACAAAATTCAAAACGAAGTAGTCAAGACGAATATCGGACCCTGGGGACCGTAACCGCAGCTAATGGATTAAAGGTTTGACACAGTGAGATGAACTCTCAATTCTCTGATGCTTCAAATTTGCTGCAGGAAATGTGATAAAATCTCAACATAGAAATGAAAGGGTGCATATGAATGAATCATAAAATCCTGCGATATGTTGCTAAATATAATTATCTTTGAATATGAACTAATATTTCAACAATAGGAACATAGGGCGTGGTAAAATACTTGCGTGACCATTTCTAGGTCTTAGCTTAGCTATCTAGTCTACTTTTCCTCTTTCCTCAATTAATTTTAGTTTACATATTTTATTCATCCATGTAGATCAAGTGTTATTGATTTGGATTTTATTTTTGTTCTTCGAAATAATGGGGAGGGCTAGAGGGGGAAATTATAATCTCATCTGCGAGAGGATATAGAGGAAATAGAGATATTTTTATTGGATATCTACACCTATGGCCTTAACTATCCTAGTATATCAGCTTATGTAATTAATTGTCGGTACAATAATATATATTTCACTTGATTAAAACCATTGTCTTGTCATATTTCTCGCTTAGTAAGAAACTCGTTTGATTAGACTTCTGGTGACCCTGATGTGATTCAATATTCTCAAGCCATGAAAAAATCAATATTCCTCCGACTTGAAACTTATTCAACACTACTTTTCTTCCTGTTTCCTTGCTTACCCCTGTCTTTTCGACTTAATGAGCTTATTTTTTTATGAGTTAAATGAAAAGATTTCACTTTTGGCACCTTTAAATGGTATGGTATTATATACCTCTGTGCAGACTCCTTTTTATCAAATTATTAGGGCTCATAAGTCTCGGAAATGGGCCATTTTCAGTCTGGAGATCACTAAACTTTCTCAATTTAATGAGCTTCTAGAAACTCATGAAAACCCATTTATTTAATTTCCACTCGGATCATTATATTATTTGATATCAAAATTGAGACAAAAGTGGCCTATAAAGATTCGGGCTGTTTGGTGTGACCTCACTCCCAACATGTCTAAATAATGAGATTATATATCAAATTATCTTAAGATTCAAATGGAAAGCAAATGGTTTTTCATGAATTTTTAGTATCTCATTAATTGACAAAGTTTAGCGATCTTCTGATTGAAAATGCCTTATTTCTGAGGATTTTTGTAAATAAAAAGGTTGTAGGTTATAGATGAATATTAATAATTTAACAATAAGAGGATCACCAATTTGGATTCCACTCTTCCCATTGCACTATACAGCAATGTCATCATGTGGTAGACGTTGTCTCTTCTGCATTGGAGCATGGAATGTACTGTACAGGAATCTTTCTCGATGTTTGATAGAGTTTGACACTTGGGACTGCTGTATAAATTCTGGAAATTCCTATCATCTACATACTTCCTCATTATCCGTTCCTCCCTTACTGATAGATATTTCAAAGTAAGTCACAGCAACGCCTACACATTTCCCTTTTCCCAGTCTGCAGGTATTCCTCTAGGTAGGTCCTATCCTTTACACAGTCTATAGAGCTGATATCCCAACACCGTCATCACCACCTATGCCGATGGCACATGTATTAGGATACATTAATAACAACCCATCAATTGGATCCCAAACTCTTCAATCACACATCACGAACCTTGAAGAATGGTGCCAAAACTGGAGGCTTAAAATAAATCCCATCAAATTACCTTTACCCCTCGCCGTAAACCAATGACTTCCTGTCCTACAGTACCCTGTAACAATACCTCACTTATCCCTGTTGAACAAATCCGTTTCCTAGGGTTCTACCTGGACAAACGTCTCACTTGGAATCCTCATACAAGACTGAAACGACAAGAAACCGCTCGACGTTTCCGACTACTTCAACACTTACTAGACAAATGCTCTAACATTCCAATTAATTACAAAAGACTCATATGCATGACTATAATAAGAGCTATTTGGACCTACGGAATTCAGCTATGTGTGGCTCCACTAAACCATCGAATTCCTCTCGTATCCAATCCAAAATCCTCAATGTTTCTTACTTTGTTACAAATAAAATAATCCATAATGACCTTAATGTTTCTTCTGTTCAGATTTGCTCCAATCCAGATATCTATCCTTCCAAATAAACTTCATAACCATCCCAACCCTCTTGTTTCTAACCTTGCCTCCTATTCAATTCCTGATAACCCTCCAAGACATCTGAAAAGAAGATGGCCCCGTGATCTCCTAATGTTGATATATTATTAGAGTGATACCAGTGGGTAGTTTCTCAACAAGTGTTTCATGTAATTATATACATTGTACAAATTTACTGAATGTATTTTTTTATGCAATGGTAAATATCATAATATAATAAAAAAAAAGAGGGGGGGCTCTATTCATAGCTTTGATATTATTTGGTTTATTTATTGACTAACAATAACTTTTATTATTTCTTGATGATATTATATTAGCTTTTGATACAATTTTACCTCCACACTGAAAGGCACAAGAGGAGGAAGAGAAAGAAGATATTACATTTAATTATCTCTTTTGTGCTTATTATCTCAAAACGATATTTTTGTGATAATAGTGGGCTGTAGAATGTGTGTTTCTTTATGCTTCACGTTAAAATACACCTGACGTGGAATTAACTTAATACTGAAATGATCAGAACCCCCATTGATTTAACTATTTTTTAGAAAAACAATCTCAAAATCTATTTGGAAAATTCTTCATTAAAATTCTTGTTATTCTATCAGAATTGATGCCATGGCCTTTCGTAGTCCACTCATTAAAATATTTTAAAATGAACTTTTTTTGTTAGAAAACTATTTTTTAACTCAACAACATAAATTTTATTTATATGCTTTTATAAAATTTAAATAATAATAACAAAAGTGTTTTAGATAATTCCATTGATCAGGGTCCATTGTCCAACATAGTTATTTCTCATAAAAGTATTTGTATACTCTTTATGTTATGTTCATTTTATGATTTCTTTGGCTGCAGAATAATTCTACTTTATTTCCTATAATGAGTGAATTTCATTGATTCATCATACCATCATACAAGATTATTATTAAATTAAATTAGTTATTTATTATCGTTTGTTCAATCAGGACTCCTCTACATGCTGATGTTTTTTCATCATTCAGCTGGTCTGTCAATATTTGCGGGAGGAAGAAATGGGTCTTCTTCCCTCCAGGAGAAGAATTGAATTTAAAGAACAAATTTGGTGAATTGGTCTATTCTGTAGAAAGTGAGCATTTGAAGGATAATGCCTTATATCCTAATTATAAAAATTTGGTGGAACCTTTTGTATTGATTCAAGAAGTGGGAGATGCTATTTTTGTACCATCTGAGTGGCATCATCAAGTTTGGAATTTGGTGTGTTATATTCGTATTTTATAGAATCATCATTGAATGATTTATTCAAAATAATATAGCTCTTTTCTTTTCTTTTTTACAGGAAGACACAATATCAATTAATCATAACTGGATTAATGCATGTAACATTAAAATTGTGTGGAAGGATTTGTTGAATAATTTAAACAAAATTAAGGCAGAAATAGCTGATTGTCAAGATATGGAAGATTGGGATAACCAGTGTCAATTAATACTTAAGTCCGTCTTTGGAATGGATATTAATGATTTTCTCTATTTTATTTTTTATATCGCAGACGTTAGATTAAATTGTCTAGACAATGATGACTTATTAAAATTAAATTATTCCGATTACTCTTTTGGTAAAAATCATATTATACATGATTTGTTATCATTATCCCATGTATTAAGTTTGCTAAAAGAAAACTGTTTAGGTTCTAAGAGTATGAATAAAATAATCAATCTGATTGAGAGAATAGAAACATTCAAGTAATTTATATATGAACTATGTTCTACAATATTTGTTTAAAAAAAACATTTTCATTTATATAAATGGAAGGTGTTCCTAATTTTAAATGAGTTATAAACAATAAAAACTAATTTCTTTTTTTTTTTTCTTTTTTATTTAACATATTTCCTCTTGATTTCAAACAAAAAACTCAGTTTAAACTTTATGTTAAAAATTGATTAATTGCTATTCTTCAAAGTAGAGGCCATCATATAATACCCCTTGGATTTATATCAGGCCATCAATTTAACCATGGGCTTCTTCAAAGTTCACGAGACTGATGCCAACTGTATAAATCTTCTCTATCATACTTCTGTATGAATAATCTTATTCATTAATTTCCAGTTGGTGCTCTATTTAATGTGTAATACTGGCACTAAACAGCACATTATATTAACTCCACCATTTTGTAAAGTTTACAAAAATTTGGTTTAGGTGATAAATGTATAAACTGAATTTTAACTTTACATGTAAGTTACAAGTAGTGAGGAAAATTTATGGATGTGGGGTTACCGATTTCAATGAAACTTCTTTTGGTGATACTAGATCGAAAAAATATTTGACCCATGTCTGAGGGTTATTGCCCAAGACCCAAGAAAAAAAAATTTGTTTATAATGTTTTCTGACTTTGCTCTGCGTGAATATTTAAGTTATTATATATCAATCAACTTGTTTTTTGTGTGAAATAAGAAAAAAATATTGCTGATTGTATTAAACGAATTCTAATGTATAATAAATTACAAAAACTCAAAGACGCTTCCTGTAAAGTAGACTAAATAAATTTTGAAAAAACGATTCAGATTTGTTTTTAGCATCCACTTAAACTCTTAAATACAAGTTTGTTTTGAAATAAAAAAATATAGAATTTTGGACTTAATTTTATGGGAGAATTTTTTTTCATGCTATTTACTAAAATATTTATAACAAATTTTTTTTGTTAATGTTTTTCTCTTAAGTCAAAATTACAGCTCTTCAAAACTATAATCTCCGTACTCAATTTTTTTATGGGTGTCTGGTTTGTGCCATTTCCTGTACATTATATGGCCCTAAATTCATGCTAATTTTCGTGTGAATGAGTGGAGCCATGTCAAAGTTATAAAAAATTTTGTGAAATATGAAAAAAAATTGCAAAATACAAATCTCAACTCTGTTCGTCCTTAAGAAAATATTAGAATCCACTTTACTCCGTAGGTCAGTAGTAATTGTTATTAAAAACTACTTCAATATCATTTTTGTTTACCTCCAAACAATATATTTCATCGTATAATATGTTCAATACATGCTTTCTTCTTATTTTCGGATTGGATCTCAATAAAATACCAGATTTTATGCATATAATTTTACTTTTGATTCCCCTCCGGTATAGAAAAAAATATGTATTTGGCATACACATATGACATTAGTACAATATTGAAACAATTATTACTGATCCATGGAGTAAAGTAGATTCTAATATTTTTTTTAAGGAGAAACAAAGTTGAGATTTGTGTTTTGTTTCGAAAATCACAAAAATTGTTATAACTTCGACATGGCTCCATTTATTCACATGAAAGTTAGCCTGAATTTAGGGCCATATAGTCTGCACGAAATGGCTCAAACCGGAAGCCCACAAACAAACTAGGCATGGAGATAAAAAATAATTTGGGGAGTTTTTTATTTATTTCTTATAAAGACAAAATCTGAAAGTTATTTGTGTGGTTCTGGATAACAATAATTTAGCTTTCTAAATATTGTAGTAACGTTGGTTTAAGAAGAAAAGATGAAGAGTTATAAATATTTTAGTAAACGGCATGAAAAAGTCCAAAATTCAATATTTTTTTATATATAACTTGTATTTAAGAGTTTAAGTGGACGCTAAAAATGAATCTGAATCGTTTAATATTCAAAATTTACTTGGTTACTTTACTGGAAGCGCCTCTGAGTTTTCATCATTTATTATACATCAGAATTCGTTTAATAGAATTAGCAATATTTTTTCCTTATTTTACACAAAAAAACAAGTCAATTGATATATAATACTTAAATATTCACGCAGAGCAAAGTCAGAAAACAATAATAAAAATTTATAACTTATCTTGGCTCCTGGGGCGCATTGGCAAAAACCCTGGGACATGGGTCAAATATTTTTCGACCTAGTATCACCAAAAAAGTTTCATTGAAATTGGTGACCCCACATTCCTAACCTCCTCTTGTAAGTATAGTAGCTTTTATTTAAAATGTACTTATAAGCATTTAAGGAGAAAAGATGAAAACTTTAAAAACACCCCCAATTACCTATTATGTTATGTTATAATGTTAATTAATCTGGACCAAGAGCTTATGGTTAAGAGAGCAGAAGGAATATCTTGAGAAAAACTTAACCTATCAACAGCAATCAATTGATTCAAATTGAAATGCTGACTTTAACTCCTGAAAGGGCTTGTGAATGAAAGAATGAATAAAATAGATAAATATTCAAATTAATTTATTTTCTCCTTTAAATAGTGTAAATTATTTGATTGTATTATGTATACATTGTTGCTTGAATAAAGGCTATTGCAATGTTGAATGTAAATGGAAGATTGTTTAATTTTATTTAAGAAACACCTCAGAAAGAATTACCACAAAACGAGGATGAATTGATAAGTCATAATTAAAAAGTAACAAAATCTATTTCTTAATAGGTCAAAATAATTGCTATACAACCTCATATGTGAGGTGTCACCTACAACATGATTTTTTATTTGAATTTTGTTTTAATTAAAAGTTGTAGAAGGCTTTTGCAAATAAGTCAAATATTTTTCAAAATGCTGGGTTTTAACAGAAATTAAGTGTCATCAACTCTTATTCGCATTGCTGATAAGATTTTTTTTGTTAACATAAACATTTTTTTCTTTAACAATTATTTTGGGATAAATATAGTGAACAAAATAACTCATTAAGATTACTGTAAATGGCAGAAAAACAATCTTATATAAAAATAAGGAAATTATAATAATAAAATAATCATCCTGTTTGTTTAATTTTTAGTTAATTATTAAAACATTGTTTAATAATATTCGTCATTTAATAATCATTATCTTGGCTTTTCGATATACATTGAAGACTGATTTTTTTTTAATGATACGAACTTTAATTCTAAATTTTAATATTTAAAAAACAAACTCATACTCGCTAATTGTAATAATAGGGAAAGAGCATAAATGCTTGTCATAAACAAATTTTAAAATATTTAACTTAATAACAGTATTTGATGGACAAAAATTTATATGATCCATACAAAATAATAAATATACCCCTTTAGGTTCTTTACCACACTTTTCAAATAACTATAAAAACATCATAACAAAAATACATTTTACATATGTTTATTCTATTTTCTATTTATGTACACTGTTTCTATATTGTTATGGTCTAATTCAGTTTTATACACATTAGCAGCATTTTATTGAGAATGAAAATAAAATTTCTTAAAAAGCTTTTTTCAGTTTCTTCAAAGAACTATCTTCTGTTTCTTAATTCTGTTCAAACCAACATTCAGAAAAATCACTAGAGCATCAGCCATCTGTAACAGTTACTGCATCATTTTTTAGAAATATTTTGCAAAAAGTAACATGTCTAATTATCTAGTTTTATAAACAAGTAAAATTCATTACAAAATAGTTGAATGGGGTTTCGTCCATTACTGTTTTAAATCTAGAGAACTTTTTAAATTAAATTATCACCCCTACAACGGTATACTGCTACAACAGCTGACGAAATGTGAGCCCTTCGATGCACGACAGCAGGTATAGAGCGCAGCAGTATATGCAGTTTGACAGTGGAACCACCTTGCCACAATTGATGGCTCTTCTCCTAGCAGCTGGATTGGCGATCAACTCAGTTTGTACAACTCAATATTTCTCAGCTCATAAATATACCTGCTGGGTCAGCTGATTTGCAGCCAATTAAGACCATACTTCACCCTCATACCATTGCTTCAAATTACAATAATAACAAAAGGCTTAGGAAACCTAAAGGTTTCATATATAATTATAAATAAACCTAAAGGTTTGATATATAATTATAAATAAACATAAAGGTTTGATGACCGACAATCGATGTCTGCATACTTCCGTCCAAACCCAACCCTACCAGGTCAACCTTAACTCAATTTTCCTTCTTTTTTTTTCGCCCTACCTGGCATTACTGCCATACGGAGTTTTGGCAGCAGTAGGTTAATACATTGGGGTTCTCGTATGCCCACTGCTGCCAATAAACAAATTGATTTATTGATATATAAATAACAATATTATGGATAATTTATTTGAGTAACAATAAAACCACTGGTTTATCTGTATTGCGGCCCGGTTGTGCACTTTAGTGATGGGGCCGGGACGCACCTTATCCATCCTTATCCTCTTCTGCCTCCTCGGATGGTGGAATTCTTGCCGCTCTCAGGGGGAAATGGGCAGGGCACATCACATCACTTCACCCATACACAAACTTCCGAAGGAACGGATAGTTCCTCTTTTCAACCAGGCAGTGGAAATCCTCCTCTGTGAGGATATACCCGCCTATCCCTCTCATCAATTTTGCACGGTATCTCTCCTTCGAGGTGCAGGATACCAATATATGTTCTGCTGTTTCAGGATGAAAGGGCACCAGGGGTCGATATATGTTTCCATGGTCCGCCAGTTTTCCCTGGAACACTCCATGTCCTGTGAGATCCAGTAATCAGGAAGGACCCATATCGCATTTAATCTTGCCTAGATGGTGGGGAAGAACTTCCTGAGGGTAGATCCTTTCGAGCATTTCTGTTCCACTCTTCAATCCTTTTCCAATGGTTTGGATTCTCAACGAGCCCCTCCAGTAGCGTCTCTAGCCTCTGCCTCTTGAAATGGAACTTGATTGTATCCTCCTTGAGGATTGGTTCCGGGGGCATCGCTCCGGCCAGCACCTGCACTCCTGTGCCCGTCTTATAGGCCTTTGTTTATAACCGACAAGGATAAGGACACCATCTTATAGCCTTAACTCAACCATCGCACCTCCACTTCCTACTCTTACCAGCCTCAACTGCATATATTAACCTTTTTAGAATTTGTACTCTACTAACTATTTTACTCTCATTTTATTCATCACAAAGCTATCACCTCAATTAACTTAACAGGTACAGTTCACTTAATTCGACATTCTGTAGCCATCCAGTTGCTTGTCCTTGGGTCCAAATATTTTGCACAATATTTAATTTCAAATAACCCTACCTAAGGTGGTGTTCATCCTTTAATGTAAGCGGCCATATTAAACATCCATACAGAATCATATTTATTAATTTACAAACCTCCCACAGATCTCATTATCGCATAGAAGACATCGCATATAGTGAGGGGTGTGGGGATGGTAGGTGCAAAGGTTCAAAGTTCTTTTCAGCTGTGTCCAATGGACTTAACATATCTTTAGTTCAGAAAATACATAAAAGAAAACGAACACTTTTAGTCAAATTGTACCATATAAAAAAATGTTTAACTTTTACTTTTTTTTCCATTTATATTTATTTATAAAATTGGTTAGTTTGGTAATTTGTAAATATTAAAATTAAATAAAATTTAGATAGTTATCAAGTTAGGCTGGAACCTTACAGTTCCATTACTGATATTTTGCAAAATTTCAAGTTACCTAGAAGTGGTATCCCGCTTCATCATACAAAATGAAATTAAATATGAGACAATTATAAATTATATCACGGAAAAAAAACAAAATCATATATTTAATTATATTTGTCATATAATGTACACACCCTAAACAAGAAGGTTCTAATGAACATGAGTCACATCGGCAAATGAAGTATTGACTAGTTTTCAAGACAGGATGATGACAATCATCACGTAGTTAAACAGGGTGTTTCGTAATTGCACAGCACTATTTAGGTATGTGTTCACAAACACAAAATAAACAAAAAAGTTCATATTAACATATATCTCAAAATCATTTATTAAACAGGTATTAAAGGTTAAAGATTTATTATATATTTACTTCATTAAGACTGACTGTAAAAAGTTTAACGTGTTTAATACTAAATAACAGGTTTTAATCACCTGATAAGCAATGACAGTAGTAGCTCATCTGGCTGTGTTTTTAAGTGTGTACAAATACTGTGACACAGTTCAATTAATGATTATCATGGGAGACACCATAAATTTATTCAGTTTTGTAGAACAAACAGACATGCTTTTAACTTTTGGCGAAGTACATAGAAACGGTGCTGCTGCTGTTCAAAGATATCGTGAAAAATTTCCTAATCAAAGAATACCAAATCGTAAAACTTTGAGACCATTGAAAGACGCCTTAGGGATGACATGCTAAAACCTATACATAAAATAGTATTGTATACCTTAAATAGTGCTGTGCAATTACAAAACACACTGTATATTTCCTAACAGTCCAATACAAACAGGATTTTAAAATATCGAAAATCAGTAGAGTAAAAATAAAATAGTCCTCTTAAGCTATCATATATGTTCAATATTATGTCACCTTAATTAATAATTAATAATAATTTTAAAACATTTCCAACTATCCTTACCTTGTGCCTAGACCACTATCCAGATGCAAACTCTTCAAAATAATCCTTCACCAAGATTAAACCAAGTCTTCAGAAATCAATCGTCAGATTCAGATCAATGTATCCCTACAGGTATACGATGCCTATGTGCCTTCATTAAACCTCCGTTGGCTATCAGCATGCATCAGTGATACTGCAGAGAGTGGGGATAGCTTGATTCAGGATCCCCGGCCTGAATTGGATATTCAAAATATTTATGATAGGATAGTCAACAATAATTATTATTTTCATGCTATTATTTTTTATTAAACCTTGTTTATTTATCTATGAGATTATTTTAAAATATAAATCAGTCGGCACTGATAACTATTTATAAATTTAACAAATACAATTTAGAGGGTGCTAATTCAATTTTAGAATTATAAAATAATAATTTTGGCACAGAATGGGAACTTTTGAGAAAATGTAGTCATTGGTTAAGAAGAATGAATGTCAATTAAAAAATTATAAAAAAATATCTTAGCCTGAAGCTTCAATACTTACCTCACAATCTCTAACTAAACACATAATAAGAAATAAATAATTAAAAAAATGTTAGAATACTTTTTATTTCTGTAAAATTATGGATGCTATTGTAGGGGGAAAAAAACACATAAAATTTCAAAATTGTTAACTGTATAATTAATAAAATATTTACACTTTCTTAAAGATCATTTAACACAAGAGTAAAATGTTGTTATATTTGGTGACTGTGCATAAATAAATAACTGTCTTTCAAAAAATTAAATTATTATCTCTCTATACATGTATCAACAATAATATACAGACATTTACATACGTACCACTACATAATTATTTAAATATATTACATAGATAAAATATTATTATTACTTACATTTACAGTAATATTAACATTAGGTACAAATTTCTGTAAGTGATGGCACATTATTTTGCAGATAATGTTTAGTCAGTCAGGTAATGTAATGTTTTATAAAAAATCATTATCTTTCACCTGACAAAGATAAAAGAATTCATAAAAAATAAATAAATAATTATCTCATAACTTAATTTAAAATTTACATACAGTTTATGAGCACTGGTTGGTTTTATAATGATGTTAAATGGTTACAATATTAATTACCTCAAAACAAAAAATGTAGGCAAAACTTCATTAACAATGGCTGCCTGCCTTTTTTGGTCAGGTAGAATTTTTATATTCTTCCGTAGGCAAACTATATTCATATACGTATCACGCCACCATAGAGAGGGGTCAGGTGGTTCACTGATTATACCCTCTCCCTTTTTTTATTTCCAGCTCCTCGTTTGGAAATGTTTTTGTTAATGATATCAGCAACATAGCTCTTATGGTCAAAAAATTTCATTATTTGACTTTTAGCGTCTAGCATTTGGTCTTTAGCAACTTTGGTTCTTTGGAAGTTGGCCTGAAACAACAAAACCAATTAATTTATAATTAACTAAATCTGTAAGCTTATTTAACGTTTTTTTGTTTTTATTTACAAAAGCATTAAGCTACGGTAATACATTAGTGTTGCTGTACATAGTACATTCATTTTCAGATGTAAACAATTAAATAACATAAAGATGAAATATGTTTTGAATGGAATAATTATAATTATTGCAATGTTATGTAATTGTATTGCAAATATGTAACTTTAGAATTGATAATTTTAGTTAAATTATTACTAAATAATATATATATATATATATATATATATATATATATAAAACTAACTTACCCTGACCCTTTCATTTATGCGACTGTACTCTTTATCTATTTCCTTATTTTTGTTTTTCTTTTGATTTACTTCTAATACACACAATAAAGAATTGTAAAAATCAATAAATTCGTCCTCTGAACTCACCTAAACAAAGGAAATAAATAGTAAATAAATTAAAAGTAAATACGCACATAACAAATTTGCATTAAAATAAAATAAAATGGATCCAATTAAAAAGAGCTTCAATTAAATTTTGCACTTTTATCAAATTAAGTCTAAACGTTGGAATTGATTAATTAATTCAATTTAAAATGTCCCAAGTGCAGGGCTAGATAAAGTTGACACATTTTAAATTAAATCTTATAATAATTGCAAGTTGGCCCGTGCGAATGATTCGTGCAGCTCACTATTCTGATTGGTCAGTGATCAACTGACAAATTAATGCAACCTATCATAACATGGAGAAATAAATTCTTTGTTTTAACGGTAATTATAATCAACCAAAGAATTAAACATAAATTTACAACTTTATTCATATTTCAAATTACATTAAGCTGTATCTTTGATAATAATATTCTGATTTTGATGATTTTCTTTTTGTTTTGTAACGAACTAAGCAATCTTTTAAATAATCAAAGGTGTATACTTTATGAGTTGTTCGCAAATAAAGTTTCTTTTTCTTCATAACTTTTTTGCCTGAATTTTCAGGGTGACTTTATTTATTTTACATAGAAAAACAAAAACGGTGCGTATGATTAGCTTAGTTCCCGTGAAATTCTGAATCTAACAGTACCTCATTCATGGCATTTGAGGATGACAGGAGCCTATATTTGGTACCAAGCCAATTTTGAGCTTTAGTGTAATAATATATGTGAGGATAATTACCACGTCTTCAATCTGAGAGCCAAGATGATATATTTTCCAACCATTTATTTTCTGAAGTGCATGCTTTTGGTTTGCTATTTCGCTCAACGATGGAGCCTTCTCCTCCTTCGGCTTTACATCAGTATACCTGAAAAGTATTCAAAATATATTAATTAATTACACAAATCTCTTAATAAATAATTCCAAAGATTTTTTTTTAACAACTTCTTTATAATTCGAAACTGTTTAAACTAAACTGATAAAAATGTCTCATAAATTCAATTCCATAGCTACATATACAACAGTTAAGAAATCATACGTAGCCCCTTTTCAGTTATATTCTCTTAAAGTTAAAACTTTCATAAATTACTATTACTACTTTCAATTTACTCCTTTAATTTTAGTTACATAAGCTTTGGAAAGAGATACCTTTCATTATATTTCCTGATCAAGATTCAATTTTTTAAACTAATCAATTTTAAATTACCGAGGCAAGGTCTATTACATTACATAACTACCCTCTTCTATCTAAACAAGGGAGAGGGATTCTTAAAATTATGTAAACTACACGACTCCTCCTGAACTACATTTTATTTAAACCAATCCTAGGCATTTTAGGTACTTATTAACTAATTACAAAAGCCTAGATGACCATGTAGAATATTTACAAAGTTAATTATTTGAATAAAAGCAAAAGGTTGAGATGTAAAGTTAATATAAAAATTGTTTTTTAACCCCCCTAGGAATGACTTACACAGAACTCTCCGGGGCTCACGGACGAAAGTATAGTACTTATCCCCTAATACACAGCGTATAGCGGGGTACTCTATGAGACCAAGGGAGCATCGGTTGGAAGCCATACCTAGCGCGAGCCTTAACCGGCCTCCAACCTAACTCCCTTGACCAGGTACGTCCAAGAAGGATGCAGGCACACAACCGGTGCCCACGGAAAAAGACAAACTCTACTACCATAGCTTCCGTCCACTCGTCCACACATTATACCAGAAGTTAGCCTGAACAGCGTCAAGAATAGCTGAACACTGGTTTCGTGCAGCGAGTGGTCGTAAACACATCGACCGCCACGGCCGAACAGTGCAAGCACTCTCGCCGTCCACCCAAAGCGCCGCCGGGGCTCCGGTGACGCCCCGTAGTAATTTGGTCGGGAAGCACTGCTTCCTTGACCTCAGAGCACGATTGGTCTCAGGCTCCGCAATCTTACGATCGCTACGGCTTTACATTGCCTGCCGATGTACAGGAGGATGCCTGCACCTCCACAGTCAATGAGGGCCACGACTCAAACCTAAGGGTTCGAGAAGATGACCGTCCCCATTCCCCTAATACACAGAGAGTAATAAATAAAGTATAGGCGACATTAGGGTGACATATTTATTCATAAAAATAATATAATGTAATAATATATTAGCTCCTGTAAGTTGGAACAGGGATCTACTATACTGCAGAATTAATATATAATAATTAATTTAAAAATTTAAGGGACTAAGCAGTAAATCTATTTTGTGAAAAATACATATTATTTCAAAATATTTTTTATGGATCAATACATTATACATTGAGCAGACACAAGGTGGTTTCTATTGGAGGAAGCCAGACCCTTTATGGATTTTACTGCTATTTATGAATAAGAATAATACATTATTTCAAGATTAAGTCGAACAGTGGGTTTCCAGCTCACTATCCCAAAAGAACCCAAGTTTGAAGCATCAAAAGTAGAAATTTGTCAATAGAAAAAATTTGAACTGGGATTTGCCTAAAAAGAGCTCTGAATCAACAAACATTGTCTCAGCCCATTCAGTTCTAAAATCAGTACTTCAACGCTGAGTGCATAAATCAAGGGATTAGAGTTCAGTACAGATAGCATCACATAATGTCTCCTGCACTCTTGTCCTCCCCCATTTTATGTATTATAAAAAGATAATACATTACATTTTTATTCGTTGTACGTACAAACATTTTAAGTTACCTGAAATGGTTGCGAAATAATGACAAATTTACAACTACCTAGCAGATAGAAGAGCCTACTCGGTTAATGAATGAGCTCTTTTTATTGAATGGATGGTGAATATTGAATTGATGATAGCTGGAATGAATAATTAAATTAAATTATAAAAAATCATAAACAAGTCAATGTTAGAGTGGTGAATCGTAAAAAAGTAGATAGTTGACACTATTTAGATATGAAATATAATACAAAAAAGTACTGGTCACTCAAAGTGAATCATTGAAAAGAGCTGATAGTACATTACGGTGAGTGAATGATCCTGATGGGAAAGAACTGATAGCTCATTACAGTGAGTGAATGGTCCTCATGGAAAAATCACCAACAGCTGTCAACTAGAGGATAATAGCAATCAGCTTGATTAATACACAAGGAATGCTTTTTTGTTTTGGTTTTTTGAGATATTATGAAGAGAAATTGGACTTTTTTCATTTCATTTCCAACACCATTTTGAATATCACTATAAGTGGCACTATTTTTCCCATTGGAGCAAGCAATCTTAAAAGGGCTACATTTGATTTGGAAAAGGTTTATAAACATAAAATGATAAAAAACCAAACAACAATAAAGTACTAATGAAATGAATTAGATAATGTACCATCTTAGTCATTATTGCTAATTAAAACATTAAAAACTATAATATAACATTCTTCGTTAAAATAATAATATAAAATATTCAACTTAGGATTCTCATAGAAGGAAAAAAAGTATTTTATATTTCAAAGTTTTTACAATCCAACTAAATTTTGATAAACAAGTTACACAATTAGTAAGAAAGTCAGCTAAAAATGAATGAATGACTGTAGTAGGCATTAATATACTACAATGGATAGAAGACAGGACGGCAAAAGTTATATTATTAACCTGAGTCAAACCAGCATACTCTATTTCACTCAGTTTGAGTCAAAGCAACACATTTTATTTCATTCAATTTAACAATCAAAAGAATTACCGAGTACAGGTCAATAATCCACAATAGAATAATATTTTTAATTTCAGCAGAGTTTGAAAAATATGATAAAGTGTAACACTGACCCACTTAGCAGGCTATGAGGAGGAAGATAAAAAAAATAATCGGGTAAAATAAGAGATTTTGCTAGGATTGAAAATGATTAAAAGTAAAAAACTTAAAACACATATATTCAATAATTCTATCCTATGTTTATAAAAACAGTCCTGGTTATAAAAGAAAATAATTTTTTTTTATGCAACATAACATAACATAAGACTAAAAATGGGTGTTTTCAGTAATAATACCTGTTTATTCTTTTAAATTTACTATTATATGAAAATAAACTTTAATTTGGAGATTGTTCCCTGTTAAATATATTATGACAAATGGGTATAATAATGTTGAAAATTCAGGTGACAAGCTCACCCATCGATAACTTCATTCTGATTTTTTTTTTAAATGGAAGAGACTGCCAATTTCTAATTAGATGTCAAACAACTGTTTAAAAACATAATGAGAAGGAGGTAGGAGGTGTGTACATTATTTTAATTAATAATTCATGTACCTCATTAAATTTTCTTTAACTATTTAAATCTTCATCAATTGAATTTAGATGAGAAGACTTTCTGAGTAAGGCCTTCGTAATGTCTTTTCATGCTCCTTTGATAGGCAGTTTGAAATGAGGCTTCCATCTTGTTGAATTTTTTCTATTAAATAAAACAAAAAATTGTTCATACAAACTCAATTCAATGCGCTCAACATCCTATTTTTTTTTTTTAATAATATCTCTGAGGGAAGACTAATTAAGACACCTTACCAGGAAGCAAGGCTCATACAATTTTCAGTTTGGGCCGAACAGTTATCCTATATTGCTGAAAAGATATATATAAAATATTTTCAAAGTGGTAAGAGAACGAACAATATCATTTATTGAACAATTGAAGGATGGAATTAATCATCCCAAAACTACAGAAGGAATGCAACACTATTTCACAACGGAGAAATACTGCTTTCAACTGATCTAGAACTAAATGCTAAATACTGAAATGATCCAAATGATTATGTTGAATATCATGACAGCTTAGTATCATTTCCTATTATTGAGTACAATAACTGTGCATTACAATATTAACAAAGTTACAAATTAAAAATTAGACAATTGAGTTTTTGGGGGTTATATAAATTTTTGTTCAACATGACCATATAAATTTCCATAAATATGCTTTCATACAGACTCGAAATCATTAGGTTCTACGTAAGTATCTTAAAATTACAACAGTGGGGTGGCAGAAGGGGAGTGGGAGAGGGGTAAAAATGGGATTAACTACAATCTGGGAAAATCATACTACAAGCGCAGAACTTAAACAAAGCTATTTTACAAGGATTTTGAAATCAGTCGTAGCCAAAGTACAAAGTGCGGAAGCTATATAACTCTGGTAGTGAGGAAGCAAAATTGATTTTTTGAACAAGCCTCAGAAAATTAATAGGTAAAGTAATAATAAAGACCGATAGGCTTTTTGGATTCAATGAACTTATTATAATCGACAGTACTTACGAAAACACCAGGAAAAATAAAATTGTAAAATAAAAAACAGAAATACAACTAAGATATCAAGTTTTGTCAAGAGGAACAAAAATTAAATTAAACACTAAAGAAATTAACAACTGAATCATCTTTCGATTTAAATATATAAGCAAAAAAATATCACTCAGTTATAGTCCCTTTACAAAAAATAAAAGTGTTAATTATAATAAAAACTTCTTATTTAATAAAGTAAATACCTAATTAATAATCAACATCTCTACAAAAATAACAAAATTATCTACCCCATCAGCACCCATTTTAAACAAGTTTCATTTGATTATATTTTTATAAATAAAGTATAAATATACAATGAAATATGCGATAAATGAAAATGTACCTAATTGAAATATACAATTTCAACAATGTTTCATTTGGATTACTGTTTTATAAATAAATTTTCCTAAAACTCTTAAATACGAGTTTGTTTTGAAAAAAATAATTTTAATTATTGGACCTGATTTTATGGGAAGATTTTTTTTTTATGCTGTTAACTAAAATATTCATAACTCCTCAGGTTTTTCTCGCAAGGCGGCGACATTACTACAACCATTGGAAAACTACATTATTGCTCATCAAAACTATATCGATAACTTTTAGATTTCACACCTTTATAAGGAATAAATAAATAAAAACTCCCTAAACATTTTTATTTTTTTCTCCATTTATTTGGGGATTTCCGGTTTGTGCTATTTTGTGTATATTATAGGCTCCCAAATTCAAACTAATTTTCGTGTGAATAACTGGAGCCTTGTTGAAGTTATCACGACTCTTGTGATTTTGGAAATAATTTTGAGCAAACAATTTTTATTTTTCGATTGATATGAAAATTCTTATTTAAATAAGGGTTTTTCGAGATACGAAATAAAAACTTTATTTCTACTTAAAAAAATATTTGAACCCACTTTACTTCTTAGATCAGTTCTATTTGTTTCAATACGTTTCAACACATACCATATCATTATGCTAAGTAAATATTTTTTCTAAACCGGACGGCTATCGAAATTAATATTATATGCACAAAATATAATATTTTATCAATCTTCAAATCAAAAATAAGAATAATGCCTGTATTGTACATATCACACAATGAAATATTTTTTTTTTAACCCACTTTACTCCTTAGATCAGTTCTAATAGGGTGTATAAAAAATATTACCGTTTTTCTACCAAATATTTGGATTATTATTTCTTTGATATAAAATATAATTAATAATCAAAGTATAGTCCATTGTTATCCACAGTCATTAGGCATCTGATAGCTAATCGCTCGATCCCACGCTATTACCATTCTTTGGGATGGCTGTCAATGAACTCTTGGACCGCAATTTCAATTTCCATAAAATTATCAAAATTTTCCCTTGAAAAAATGGGCAATGAATCTAAATAAGTAGTAATCCAATGATGCAGGGGTATGGACTACACGGAGGATGAGGCAGGAGTTCGAGTTCGAGGGTTTTTCAATAAATTTTCACAAATGTCTAACCTCTTTGCTGATTGCTGAGAAGTAAGTTCGTGAGAGACCAGTGTACTGCTCTTTTTCACCTTCTCCATGGAGATTAGATGGCGACTGACAGTATCTTTCGACGCACCACACTCCCTGGGGAGTTCGTGTGTACTTATGGATGGATTTGACCCAACAGCTTCATTCAAAACCTCATCAGTATCCATTATTGGTCGACTGGTACTCTTCTTCTTTTCCAACGTCGTATCTCCACTGCTAAATTTTTCAAACCAAAAATAATAATAAAGCATGTATTGTACATATTATACATACACCATGAAATATATTTGTTTATGATGAAAAGATTATTTTTGTTTTTTGCACCTCTAAACCCGGTAAGAAAAATCAGTAGATATTAAAACTGTTATATATTAAGGAAATTTTTATTGCAATCGAAAAATAAATGTCTTTTGCTTTACTAATCTATAAACATTGTTGGATCTCATAAGAGCTATTAATATAAGGCAGAATATTGAGCAAAAAATATTATATTATATTTTTAGATTGCAATGAAAATACATATTTACGAGGGTTCTTTGGAATGAGAAAAATAAATATCATCTTTTTTTTTATCACAAAAAATATATTTCATGGTGTGATATGTGTAGAATATGTACAATAAATAAATACTTTATTCTTATTTACGATTTGAAGCTCAATAAAATACTACATTTTGTGCATATAATATTAATTTTGATACCCGTCTGATTTAGAAAAAAATATCTACTTAGCTTAACGATATAGTATGTGTTAAAACATATTGAAACAAATAGAACTGATCTGAGGAGTAAAGTGGGTTCAAATATTTTTTTAAGTAGAAATGAAGATGAGATTTGTATTTTCGAAAAACCCTAAAATACAAATTTTTTGCTCAAAATTATTGCCTAGAATAATTTTTTGCTCAAAATTATATCCTAGGCTGAAGCCTTAAATTTTTTTCCAAAATCACAAGAGTCGTGATAACTTCAACAAGGCCCCAGTTCATTGGGGAGTTTTTATTTATTTATTCCTTATAAAGGCATGAAATCTAAAAGTTATCGATATAGTTTTGATGAGCAATAATGTAGTTTTCCAATGGTTGTAGTAATGTCGCCGCCTTGCGAGAAAAACCTGAGGAATTATGAATATTTTAGTAAACAGCATGAAAAAAAAATCTTGCAATAAAATCAGGTCCAATAATTAAAATTATTTTTTTCAAAACAAACTCGTATTTAAGAGTTTTAGTGCACCAAAAAAACGAATCTGAATCGTTTTTTCATGAAAAAATTTACCAAGCCTACTTTACTAGAAGTATTTAAATTTATTATACCTTATAATTTGTTTAGTACAACTAGCAATACGTTTTCTTATTTTACAAAAAATAAAACGAATCAATTGATATATAACTTATGAATCCATGCAGAGCAAAATTAGAAAACTAACATAAAAAGCAATAAAATTCGGACATGGGTCTAATATTTTTCGACCTAGTATCACCAAAAAACTTTTCATTGTAATCGGTGACCCTACGTCCTCCCCTTGTAAGTTTGAAAAAAAAAGTATTTAAAATCCACCGAATCAAGCCAATGCCATCGTTTAAAATACTATTTCATTTTACTTGTGTGAAAGGAGAAGTGATATATACAAATATTTCATGGACGTTTATAACCTTAAATACATTTGCTGTAGTTGAATAACTCTAGATATGATACTATATTTAAATAATTAGGTATCTATTCGCCGTTTATTCCAAAAAATCATCAAATAACCTTTTAGAAAATTAAATTAGTGAATAATTTGATGAATTATCCTTTTGTGAAATCCCAACATTATTCACTTACAATTAGTGTGATAACTTTTGACCTATCTATGGCAGACAATGAAAATTCGTAATTTCATTTTAGTAAACTTTACAATGGAAAATAACAGTTTAATGACTAATAGTCCTACAATCCATAATCATTTATAGGTTAAATAATCAGATATACTTCCAAATCTCTCTAGGCATACATGAGCCTTTCGGTTGACAGAGAATGACTAACTCCAATTTCAACATTCTCTATTATTAATTTTAGTGATATTAGCCAAAAAATAATTTCTATTCAAAGTAGCGGTAAGTGAAAATAGTGTTGCATGCACCAGATTTGTTTTTTTTATTTCAGTAAACTAAACTTTTAGTAATTTATTTTTATTACCTTTATTTTATTTTCATAAACCGATAGGAGCTAAAAGTTGATACTTGTCATATAAAATCCTGTTATTTTCTCTATTACAGAATAAAGTGAGCTGCAGGGAATTCTAATATTAATTTAGTTTTTCATAAGTAATTTAGTTTCTTAATTACTATAAACAGCATTTATAGTAATAAATTATCTATGAATCTTATAATTATCTATAAGACACCAACTATGATATTACTGGTTAATAAATGCTATTTTAAGGAGCGCTATGGGTCAAACAAATAAAATAAGTGCTTGCCAGCCAATGAATTGCACCGACCGTAGCCATATGAATTAACTAAAAATATAATGCAAAATAAAGTTTAAATAATACATAGGTATCTATCGTTTGCTAATATTAACTGTCACTCCCCACTGTTAGCATTAAATTCATATTGCTGTTTAGTACTGTAATAAAAATATGGAAGAGCAAGAAGTTTTTTCTTAAAAGAAAAATTCCAATTTGCTGCCGACTGGAAAGGGAAGAGTTCAATAGTAGTTTGACTCAAAAATTAATAGATCTACTCTAAGTCTGTAAACAATTTGAAAAAATTGCAAATCTATTTGAGACAGTATGCTGAATGAGGTGAATCTTTTAAATCCAAAAAATTAAATTCTATCAACGGCGAAACCAGCTCTTTTCAATATTCTGCTATCAGGGTTAAGGTAGATTTTAGTCAAAAAGACTAACGAATATTTAAAATAAATTTGCAATCCATTTGATGAACTCAAACTAATATTTTGTAAAGATGGATACAAAGATTCCGTTCCAACAAAATACTGTTTTAAAAAAGCTCTTTTTCAGTTAACCAACGAATGGAATTAAGTTAAGCCAACAGTTCATGAGAATTATCATGAGGCTGACATATTAGATGCAGTGAAACGCAATTTCTTAAAAAGTTGATGCTGGACCTGACTCTATATTTTAAGATCGAAAAATGTTCTAATGAACATTTATCTGTAGACACAATTACAGGTAAGAAGTTCATTACTTTATATTAAAAAAATAAATATGTCCATAGATGTATATATTACAAATAGTAAATAATATTGGTACATTTTTCTTTTCAAAAAAGCACTGTTTTAAGTTGATTTTGCTTAAATTTCATTCATTACCCTTGTTTGATTTTAATATAATGACCAATTGCATCATTTACAGTTAGGAATATAATGAATATAACGTTTATAACGACTAAGTATACCCCTTCAAGGTCATTCATTATAAACGATATCCAATGTTTATTTATTTCCAATTTGAAAAAAATATTTATATCCAAAAAAAATTCCCAAACTTAAACAATTTTTTGCTAATTTCTGCCCGTTTTGAAAATTTCACGACTTTTCCCATTTTTTTAGGTTGTTTACCAACATGGTTTCTGCCAATATTTACTGGAATTTAAAGTGATAAGAGACAAAAATTGTAATGAGATAGATAGTAAAAAAAAAACCAACAGAAAACCATACCTCATAAAATGATTGTTTCTCGGTTTCCAATGAGTTTTATAGGAGCTCAGAAGTGACATGGTCTTCCTTTTTGGTATAACCTTGGTTTCGATTTCTTCTATGAACAAAATATAATAATATAGCTATAGAACCAGGATTTATCTAAATATAATAAATAATTTAGTAAACAAATTACAATACATCTTAAACATAAATAACAATCTTCTTTGAAAAATGCAGGAAGAAATATAAAATATTAATAACAAAATTGGTAATTAAAATACAAGAGTCTTTAACAGTTTGCTAATACTGCTAAAATAATAGTCTGATATAAACAGCAGATAGCTATGGTACAAAATAGGGCTAATATGGCAGAGCATTCATCAACTTAAAAAAAAAAATATATATATATATATATTATAAAAGACTGTATGACTATTACAATTACAACAGAAGACAAACACACTATAGCCAAATGAAAATGATATACTTAGAGAAAACATACCATCTTTCACTTCCTTCTTAATTTTCTCTTCCGAAATGAATTCCATCTCATCTTCACTAAAAGCTGGTTCAGTCATTTGATTTCCAGTCCTGAATAAATAAAAAATGGGCATTACAATGTGCAGTAAAACAATATTAATATTATAAAGTAATGTAGGAGAAATGAAAACCTAAACTCCTTTAATTGTTTTTTTAAATAGTTAATTTTTAAATATTTACTAGGTGAGATAGTACTCACAGCTGCTGCTTCCTGGGTTTCTTCCTCGGACTGACTTCAGACGGAAGGGTGCGCAGTTGTACACAGGGCTCTTCCTCGTCCTTGGACGGAGGCAGGGGCGCGGGCGGGCTCTCCCCCGGAGAGCTGTTGGCCGATACAGTAGTGGAACCTCCTGATGAAGACTCCGGCCTCTTAGGTGGAGGGCTGGGGGGTAGCGTCGGCGGGCTACTGCTCATAGTGGCCAATAGGGGTGTCAAGTTTTTCTGTCCTTTCAGCGGCGACCTTGAAAACACATCATGCTATAAATTACTAAACAATCTCTGCTCTTTCTTTGGTGACCTTTAAGACACACCTTGCTATATATGTTTAAATAACTTCAATTAAAATTATCTATATTGTTTGTGGAAATATCCAGATCGTACCATCAACAAGCAGATAGTTAAAAAACAAAATTAATAACATTTTCTATTTCAAAGCTACTTTATGGTATTTGTGAATGAATTGAATAAATTAAATAAGATGTATATTCCTATGATAAAAGAGTTACAATGGACCATTCATATCCATACTATCCAATGGCAATAGAAAAAGAATCTGTCAAGACTGAGGGTGTTGAGAGGAATAGAAGAAACTTTGACATTTTTTTCAGACATAAGAGGTTGCTGAATGAGTTGATAACTGACCAAAATATTTTATTGAAAAAGATAAATAAAATAAAAGGAAATGACTTCTTGTTAAAAGATTTGCAGTGTTGAGTATGATCGTATTCCGATGAAAATACTTAAGATGATCTACACTTCATAGGTCTAATTTTAAAAGTAAGAAAAAGGTAAAACTACTCAAGGCATCGGGCAAGGATGCAACCCGAGCCCACTCCTTTCTTAGCGCTCAACAGAGCTAAATCAAGGATAGGACTCTACCACTTGGGATATAGAAAACCTTAGGCCCAACCACCTTCGCCTTCTTGCATTCAAGGATGACTTAATTTTATTCATAAACAACTACAGAAACCTTCAATTCAACAAAAATGTTCTACAGAAAGAATTAGAAACTAGCAATATTACTATAAATGCAACAAAAATTATGAGAATAGGAAGGAAAGGTGAACATGAGGATCGAGTGGTAAAACTGAACCATACAAGGTTAGAGCAAGTAAGGAATTTTAAGTACCTTGGTATTCACCTGAACGAATATGGATGGATAGATGGTGCAATAAACGAAAGGATAAAAGTTACCAGCAGATGTTTTAATTCTCTTAAGAAAGGTTTTATGGGGAAAGAATAAGTGAATCTTGGACTCTCACCATAAAACACAAGAGCCAAGTTCAAGCTATGGAGATGCAGTACTTAAGAAGAATGGAGGGGGAAAAAGGGAGAGACCGAGTCCGAAATAAGGCCAAGCCAGGAACTTGGCCACCTAAGGATATCATCGAAGAACACCAGCTGATATGGTTTGGCGATGTTCATAGAATGGAAGAGGACAGGTTAGCAAAAGTGTATGAAACAACAAAGGTGGAAGGCCAGAGGCCAAGAAGAAATGGGAAGGCGCAATCCGGAATGCCTTTGACAGAAGAGGATTGGAATGGAGAAGAAGACGGATGGTCAAATACAGAGATTCTTGGACCAAGCTCTACCGTAGGAATTCTCACGCTGCTGTGCGGTGGAACAGGAGGAGATTAAATAAATAAACTTGGCAGAAGAAAATAAGATATCATCTGAAAATGTAAAATATTGTTAAGCAAAGTTCTGTAATAATTAACATTATCTTCTGGCTAAATTTATTTACAACTAAACCATTTTTAGCTAACAAATTTTGAAGATAGCTAAAGGTACCATTAGGCTGACTCGATGATAAGCCTAATGGCACCAGAGGATGTGGAGCAAGACATCTAAGTAAAAATAGAAGTAATTTTTGTTCTTTTCTATAATTTACTATAGTCTATAACTTCATTAGTCCTCTTTTAACAGTAGTGATTTTTACACTTACATCATCATGTTATAAGAAAGAAAAGAACCATCTTTATTTAATTTTCAAATATATCACATATTATCATATACATTTCATACCGGGACTTTTTGGGCACACTGATGGAAGAGGTCACTAACCCATCGGGATCCCTCTTTCTGAGAATACTCGGGCGCGGCGAGGTGACTTGCTTCGGCAGCAGCACTGGCACGCCTGATGCCGCAGAACAAGCTACCGCGCAGCTGCCTTCTGTAGTAGTTATAGCACTTGCTAGGAAGGTAAAACAGACATTAATTTCTACATCGACTTAGTAAAAATCTATTTGTATTAGTAAAAATGTATTTAGGATACTGTACAATGTGGGATACTATTCAACCTTAAAATAAATATATAAAAGAGACAAATCACTTTATAAAGCAGATTTATCAACTATTTTATTTATTTCATGTATTTTCTCAATAGAGGTATGATAAATTAAAAATATAAAAATTATTTCACAATGTTTGATTCGCCCAAACCTGTTGCTCTCTGATATCACAAATCTCATTTTTTTCTCTTTGTTTTTGAAATTAATTGAGGGTTAAAGTCAGTGTGAAAATACACACAAAATAAACTTGATTTAATACTTTTATTTTTTTTTTTGGAATTTATTTAATAAATTATGACATTATAAGTTTAGACCATCTTTAGTATTGTCATTAGAATACATTCATACTCCCCTCACCAGATCTTGGTCTTATGATAAAATCATTTCATTTTATTTTACTTATCTTGCCCAATAAGTTTTTTTTTTCTCTTAGTTATTGACTGCAACCCACAATTAACATCCCAACCGTACTATCTAAATCTAATCTAGTCAACTAATTCTTCACTATTATTTTTATTTTTAATCTTAATGTATTTGTGTTTTTTTCTGTCTGCTATATGTAGATATAATTTTTTTTACAAATTTTATTTGCCGTATACAGATTTACTTTTATTAGAAATCATTTACAAAAATATAATATTTTTAGATGATTCTACGAAACTATCACAACTGATATATAAACTATTACTGACGGTATCGATAGAGTTATTTACATTTCAAAAATAATAAATAAAATAAACAATTCCCAAATATACATAAATAATCATTTCAACATTTGTTAGTATCAATAAAAAATTATAGGTAAGAAGTTTAGAAATATGATTATTTAAGTATGCATCAATGAGCAAAAGAAAAACTTTAAAAGTAGGGTAAGTGGAGAAACTAAATGTCACAATTAAACACAGCTTTAAGAACCCCACCAAATATTACCTTGGGAATCAGATGAAGTCGATGGAACAAGCGTATGAATTCTTGGTTGTTCAACCACCATCACTGAGGAGTTCAACATCATTTGAGGTGTTGTAGTTGCAACTCCTTTAAAATAATAATATATTAATACAATAATTCTTATAATATTTCTTACCCACCCTTAAGTTAAGTACTTTATAAACAAAAATAACTCAATATAAAATTATTTTCATTCCCCACGAATTGTAAATTAATTTTAAATTTAATTAACACCTACATAAATTGAAATTTCTACAATTTTGTTTACCATTACAGTAGTCGCAAACCCCATGTAAGATGTGAATAATTTATTTGCATACGGAAGAATAGCCTATTTCTGTAGGAGCTAAACACTTGAGTTTTAGACAAGATCTCAACAGCAAGTCTCTTCAGAATACTCTCAATCAACAAATCAGGGAGGGCCATCAAACGGTTAAGATTCAAGTTTGGAAAATGTTGACTAATATTTGACAATTAATAACTCTACTGACACCAACCCAACCTTACAATATTCACAGATAATTTAATACAGAGAAACATAACTCTTCTTTAACAATTATTTTCATCCATCACTCAGTATAGATAATCCATGCCTCAGGCAAGACAATAATATTCACCTTGGTTGGTTCTGGCTGGAGCCAAAGTCACGAGTGGTCTTGCAGCTCCGCTGTCAAAGTAACCAGCTCCAGGAAGAGTATAAATAGTGTTCACGCCCGTTGCGGTTGTTGGTGCACTACAATTTACAGAGCTCACATCTGCAAAGGAGTTATAATTAAAAAGCATGTATATATGGCATAGTCAACTTAAATGAGAAATAAATTTTCAACTAACAAACTATGTCAACAAACCCCTCAACCTCATCATAATGAAATGGAAGAAAAAATTCTTTGTGAAGGGGCTTGGAGTAGAGAGGCCAGTTTGGCAAGAGGAAAAAGACCCGCCCGCTCTAGTAAGTACACTGTTGACCACACCAAAATTTTGGTTAAACACTGAAATAAACTGCTATCTGGACCTAAAGTAAACCTACCAGCCAACTCCTGCACAGCTATAACTCACTCAATAAACAAAAATTGGAGCCGCAGGATTTGAGACCCGTAACCGGTCTTTATAGCGTGTACAAATTACTAACGGCTGTAATCAGGAACAGGTTGACAGGTTGCATTGAGAAGGGCAGGAGAAGGCAGCAGAACAGTTAGGTATCGAGGCAGGTTCAAGAGGCTACAAAGAACTTCTCATCATTGATTCTTTTATTGGTGCTCAAGTTACAAAATGATATCGCAATATTGCTTTGTCTTTAAGTCTTTGATTGATTACCGTTAAGTTTTTATTTGGTTCAGTTCCACATGATTGGGTTTTGGAAGTGTTGAACGACTTATGCAAATTTGGAGGGTCTCAATCTGCACATTAACTTGGAACCGAATAAGTTTCAATGAATCCATTCCATTCTGCAACTCTACAGCCCTTGTAATGCCTTGGCCTCCACAACGCCTCTCCAATCCATTCCATTCTGTAACTCTACAGCCCTTGTAAGGCCTTGGCCTCCACAACAACGCCTCTCAATCCTCCCAATCAGCGGCCCATCTAAGCCTGGGCCTTCCCCTCTCCTTCTTCTGCCTCCTTTCTAGATACACCCATCCTTTCTACCTGCCCAAGCCATCTTATATGGCTTGATTTAACTTAAGTGACTATGTTTGGTTCATTATACAGTTCTTGGAGTTCTCTAATATTTCCTATTTTCCATTGGCGATTTATACATACTGGCCCAAAGATTTGCCGAAAAAACTTCCTTTCCCAGATCCGGACGATCTTCTCGCATTCCTGTATCAGGACACATGTTTCACCTGAGTAAGTGACAATTGGTCTCAGGATAGTGTTATAAACCAGTAGCTTTGCCTTCCATGATAGGTTTCGAGAACAAAATGTTTTCCTTAACGCAAAAAGATAGCTATTACCTGCTACAATTCTTGCTTTAATTTCTACAGTGATGTCATTTTTGCCTGTCACTAAGGCTCCGAGAAATTAGAAACTGCCAGCTTTCTTAAAAGTGTGGAGGAGCAGTTGCATGCTATCCTGTCCTTCCTGATCCTCACTTTTTATGTATATGGATATCATATATTGGTTTTTTCCTTATTTATTGCGTCAATGAATAGAAATCTATAAAGAGGGGTATTTTTCAAGGAATCATTGAAGGAAATAATATTGAGATATCAGAAGATGTAATAATGAATCAACTAAGAGAATCAGATTCAATCTTTCAAATACTTGGGAATACACCAACACCTGGGATTCAAAGAAATACTTGTTCAAATTACAACTTAAATAACATTTAAATGGAAAAAAATTAATACAGGCATTGAATACCTCGGCAGTACCAGTTTCAGCCTGCTCGTTTGGTGTACTGAAGTTGACTAAACCCGATTTAGAAAGCTTGGATCGCTTTTTCAGAGTCTAAATGGTGCTTTAAAGGAATAGACATCCAAAGTCATCTGTGGCGAGGTTATATCTTTCTAAGAAGATGGGGGGCGTGGTTTAGCCAGCCTCTTAAATTTATGCTGAAAAGAACAAAGTAATCTTCGAAACTACATTGTATACCTCCAATATTCTTTCAACTATTGCATCAGAAAATATAAATTACACAGCTCTGAATCTACGAAGGTTTGGGGTCCCGATTAGTAAAACAGATGATGTCACTCTATCAAAAATACGGAAAAAAATGAACTCTTACATGGACAATTTTATCACCCATTAATGGATGATGCAACATCTAAACCCACCGTCTAAGACGACAGAAAAAATGCTATGCAAAACAAACAGCATTGTCAGGAAATACACAAATATTAATATTGAAAATATAGAATTGTAATTTTTGGTTGACCTAATATGTATAATAAACTATTATGCATAATAAACACCATTTTATAAACAAAAAATAAATAAATGATAATGATAGTTACTTAAGGTTGGCGGTTCAGCCTCCTTAGGCCTTGCAGGTTCCCTGAGGAGAAACGTGTTGCGCCCTCCTTGAATGTAAAGCTGCTGGCTCGCCTCTGTCGGTGTCGCAGCCACGGGCTTAGCGGCGGGTCGTACAGGGGTGCCAGCGGCTCCGCTTCCTATCACGACTGTAACAACATCCACTGATTCAAACGGTAACTATGTCCTAATTTTTCCTTAAATATTTTAACTTCTTCACAGTCAATAAAAAATAAAAAGGTATAAGAAATCGGGTATATTTATAATAATTCATTAATGAATCCAAATAAAATACTAATTTCATTCCTTAAAAGACCAAAAGAAAATAATTAAATGAATTTTTATTAAATAAATAATAATGTTAAAAACATAGAGCGAGAGTGGATGGGAACGGTTTATTTATTTAGTGATGTAGCTCAAATACAATTACTGAATTGATACAATACATAGCACTAGAATACTTTCAGACATCACATAATTATGGTAATATATGATTTAAAAAATATGTATCAAGCTTTTGAAATATTACTTACTTTATTGAAAAATAATAATAATAATGTAAAATTTCTCTAGAAGTCAAAATTGCAAGATGCCAAGTAGTATTCCTTCAATAAAATAAACAGCTCAGTGTTTAACCTTAGATCTCGCACAAACTCGCCTACCATTCATCTCTTAGTCCTACAATCCTTTTCTACTTTCCTACCTATACTAGTTAAGGAAAGTATTGCGACCGGGTCAAATTTCCAACATGCGGTTTTCGACGGATCTATACATTTCAGAGCCCTCTAAGTCCGAAAAACACATTTTCAGCCATTGGTCTGTCGGTGCAAAGATTATCTCGGGAACTAGTGGACCGATTTTGTTGCTTCTTTTTTTATTTTGTAGGGTTTTGACAACTGACTAATATCTTTGACACAAATTCGGTGCTCTCTGTGCAATAAGTGAAAAACTTATTTTTCTCTAGATTGTAGCGCTAAAACGGCTCTAACGATTTTGATGAAACTTTCCTATAATTTTGTAATTCATGTTCTTTCAATTTTTGTACATGTACTAAATTCTCAAGAGAAAATTCAGGAAAAAATGTTATAAAGAAAAGAAAAATGTTTTGGGACCTAACTCACTAAGTATGTATTCTACAGGAAAATTTATACGAAAACTTGTGAAAGGCAATTAAATTACCTACAAAACAAAAAAAAATTCATCGGAATCGAACCAGTATTAGTGATGATACAGCGTACTCTATTTTCTACACATGTTTTAATTTACTATTTTCCTACCTATACTAAATAAGGAAAGTATTGTGATAGTGTCAAATTTCCGAGATACGGTTTTCGACGGATCTATACAATTCAGAGCCCTCTAAGTCCGAAAAACACATTTTCAGCCATTGGTCTGTCTGTGCAAAGATTATCTCGGGAACTAGTGGACCGATTTTGTTGCTTCTGTTTTTATTTTGTAGGTTTGTTTTGATATCTAGGCGCAAAACATCCAGGTCATCAGTGAATTTTATTTTGTAGGGTTTTTACTGCTATACTGTTTAGCCTATTTTTTAAAAGGTAATGAAATTATCTACAAAACTATATAAAAAGCATTCATTTCGGACAACTATTAACAAAGTTACAGCTATTCAATTCCGTATGTTAGATTACGGGTTCATACTCGGGTGTCAGGAAGGGGTGAATGAGAGAGAAAAAAGAAAAGTAAGAAAATCTGTTGTCCACATCACACAAGTTTCACTTTCCTCAAGACTTTTAAAATAAATTATTTGTTGACAATATTGGGCTAAGGTAAAAAAGTTTTTGATTAGCAACATTAGAGGTTAATCTTCCACCAGCTGGTTTGCATTGCTTTTAGTAAAAGTACTGTAAGGCATGTATAGGTAAAGGTACTGCAACAATCAGGCACTGCGTAAAGGAAACATTTTGTTGTTTTCTACCGGATAGGTTTCTAATTCTATCGAAAACCCACTGTTAAGGATAAATACTTTTAATGTTATATTTTCAATAAGAAAAGCATTGCTAACCAATCTTCCCAGTTAATCCTCCTCCAACAATATTCAGACTTTATAGCTAACTAAGCACCATACGTTTCCTGCAGATAATTTTTCTAATCTTTTAGTATTCAGACTCATCATGAATTCCTTAAAACTAAGTTTTGTAGTCGTACATTCATACATGAATATATCGATGATTAACTTCACAGATCTAAGTGTAAATATTACATTTCAAAGTAAAAGAAAAATTATTGAGATTTCACCACCTCCTGTTTAGAGTTTTATTAACCAATAATTACAATTTGGTCCGACCAGAGGGCAACATCTATCGATTATTTGTCTTATTTATTAATTCTATTTAATTTTGTTTATATTTGACAATTGATATAAATATTTTATTTTCACTTATGATTATTCAGTATCCAACTAATATTAAATTGTTACTTACAACATCTGTAAAGTAAGAGCTCAATATAACTAAAATGACTGTACTTAATTTCAATTTCGTATTGTTGATTTAGGTCCCAGCGAATGTTTTAAACCTGTATATAATTTATTTTTAATACCTTCATTTGCCTAATGTACCACCAAACTCCATTGTGTCTTCCCTTATAGTATACTTGTTTATGAAGAATATCTTGCAATATTAAAAAGGGACCGGGCAATTATTTTACCTTTTGATTTCTCATATAGCTCAGACTACGCAATTTTGCTGACATATGGTTATATTATTTATAAACATAGGTTCACTGGATCTCCTTTAATGTAGTAATCAATATTATGAATCAATGACATTACTAAAAAGTAACTGATGTAGCAATAGTACAAAAGAGCTAATCACTTAATAATCACAAGCATAGGAAAGAGCACAGGACAAAAAATATATCAAAGGTTCCATTAACACTTACAGCTTCCTTCTCTATATCTTACATGACAATTCTTCTTGAGCTTTGATATAATACAGACTTATGCACTTGAAGATAATTTTTTTACTAGATACTGAAGATAATTTCTTGTTGGCTAATAACTTTAAGATAAGAAATCCTGAGTAACAGATAACTTCTTAAACGATCACTATGATATTTTCAGATCCTTTCACTCTAGAAACCATTTATCTGATCATGAACTTAGTTTAATTCTCCTGTATAATAACAATTCAATAAATTATAGATTTAATAAAATTAATATATAAGAGAACATTGACCCATATCATAAATAAGTGATTATTTTAACAATGAATTAAGAATTTATCCTGGATGTTGAAATTTTAATCAAAAAGTATGATTATTCAATAAAATACCTGGCCTGTTAACGGCACCAATAGCAATTGTCTGTGGAACGGAACTTGCAGTAACAGATGGCAACTGAACTCCGCTAGTTCCATGGCTCTGTTGAGTGATCACCTGGAAGTTAATAAACCAATGAAATATGAAAGGAAATGTATAAAGTTAATAAATAACTAGTTCTGCCATAAATACTGTTATAAAAGTTGAACTTTGTTTACATCCTTGGGTATTATGTAGATAATCCTTACCCCTATCAGATTATTTTATTTATATGTCAGGATAATAATCCCAATTAGTTTGTATTTTTCTTTCGCTCAGTTAACATGGAGTGGGGTGGTAAAGAAAATTGAATAGCTGTAATCGCCTTACACAAAGTTGGAAAATGTAGGTCAGAGATTTTCAACACTTTGAAATCTTTGGGATATCAGCTGTATTTTCGTGTATCGCACTATAAATAGATATAATGAGACCCTATATGTATGTGACAGGCCTCGACCGGAACATCCCCGCACTTTGAGAACAGCAAATGCCGTGAGAGCAGTGGCTGCTCAAATCATAAGAAATCCCATTGGAAAACAACAAATCATGTCTCAGGAAATGGGAATCTCTGTCAGATCAATGTCTCACAAAATAATAAGTGTCAAACCAGTTGCGAAGCCTCTAAATGATACTCTGCTGGAAGTCATTGGGTTTTCCAGCCGGATTCAGCTCCAGCCAGGTCAACTCAGCAGTGGCTGCAAAAGAACATTCCAGAGTTCATCTCTGCCTCAGATTAGCCCTCAGGGAACCCTGATTTCAACCAATTAGATTATCGGTCCGAACTGGCGAGGGTGGCACAGAGCACACCCTAACTTGGAAAGCCTCAAGCAATCTTTGGTCCGAGCAGTTAAGTGCTTTCCTCAAGAAGTGCTGTGTGCTGCTAATGATGACTGGCCACGGAAATTAAATGCCTGTGCCAAGGCAAAACGGAGACATTTTGAGTAATTTCTTTTTTGTTTTACTCTCTATAGATATACATTTTATTTTCTAATAAAGTATTTGAAAAAAATAATTTTTCTGTTGAAAAATGTATATTTCCTTGTAACAATATTAATGACAGAACTAGGTAGATATAAGCAAGACATTATATATTATACTGTCAAAGAAAATATTGTTCAAAAATGAAAAGGTGCATTAAATAGATTTTAAAATTGCAACTTATGATGCTTAAATTATTTTGAGCTAAGTGAAAATACAGCTTATATACAAAAACCGCCTATTCAATTAATTCACCATTGTAACAATGTTCCTATTCTATATCATAAATAATGTTTTAATATTGAAGCATGAAACAAAATTTTCAGCATTTTCAGTCAAAATTGTTTTAATAAGTCAACAACAACTTGTCTCGACTTCCAAACAATAGCCCTCATTATGACCCACATGTTTGGACCGAAACGTCGCCTAACTGAATAAAGAAATTTTGACTGAAATTCCTGACAATTCTGTTTGATCCTTATAATTTATCAGTTGACTACTTGCCTGTCTCTTAAAGTTTTAATATTTAAAAATATCTAAAATTAAAAAAAAAATTTAAAACAAAATAAAATCTAATAAAAAACTTGAAGACATGATCATTTAGAAAAAGTAAACTTAAACATAAAGAATCAATAGACTTTACATCAGAAATAAATTATAAAAGGAAAGGAATAATGAATATATGATTACATCTGATGAATAAATGCACCACAAAATCAAGATGAAAAAAAAAATAGAACTAAATAAAGATGAAATACAATCTAGTGATTGTTAATAATATAGTCTTTAATGATTAAACAAAATTCTCATGAATTTCAGTCAATATTTTTATAGGGTTAGCCGACATTTCGACTCAAACACGTGGGTCCTCCTTAATGACAATCGTTTGGAAGTTGAGATAAGAACTCTTGTTCCTGAGGACGACCACATGTTTGGGTCGAAACATTGTCTAACCCAATAAAAATATTGACTAATATTCTCGATAATTTTGTCCCATACTTATAATTTATGAGTTGTTTACTTACCCATCAATATAGTCTTTAAATTGTAAAATAATAACAACAAGTAAATGACAATATATTTACTATATACAAAACAGAGACAAAATATAGTCATTTGTTTGCTCAAGTAAAATTGTATAACATGTAATTAACTAGATACCAAAATTTTGCTAGTAAGCAATTATTCTTTTTTAATTCTTTAAGCATTATACTTTATTTTTATAATAGATATTATTATATATTATTGCTTAAGTATCACAAAACACAACCACGCCTTTATTATTAACCAATAGTCAATTATTATTTATTGTGAAATCCATATGTCCATCACTGCTTCTAATATTTATGATTATGATAACAATATCATATGTTTATAAACAGCTGTTCTATAACCTATAATATACTGTCAGTAACTCAGAGCTAAATTATCAAGCTTTTATGTTGACTACTTTATTATAGCAAGACCAAGGTAACACAATTTTATTAATTTGAATAAGAAGATTACGAAGGACATATTTCTTCATGTTAAGGAGGATTCTTAAAGACACTTGGCTGTTAGTTGTAGTACAGAAATATAACAGCTATTTGATAATATGGTATAACTAAAACTAAAACAAAAATGAAAAACAAAAAAATCTCAACATAAGATATTAGAGAAATTAATTACAAAAAAAAACATCAGTTTTTATTACATTTGGCTTAAAAATTATGAACAGTTTGAAATAATACTTATTGAGATTCTACAATAACAAGCTGTTTATGGACAAAAAAAAGTTAGAAGGAAGGAGTTAACGTTAGGGAATTAAAGATAGTGTAGTAATTCTCACCTGATCTAAAAAAGAGGTTTATGCCAGATGCTTGATATAGAAATTCTTTAAAATTGGACAACAAATAACATTTGTTTCAAAAAGAAACTTTTCTGAAATTGATGTATAAGGATTAACAAGGAACTGATGACATCAATAAAGTTCATCAAAATATTGCCAATTAGTCATCAGTAATATTACTTGAGCACAAAACTGAAAAGATGTTTTAAATTAGACATTGGTCTCTTGTCAGGAACAAAAACAAACATTATTCACAAATTCTCCAACAGGTAGCAGCACCAGAAACATATGCTGAGGCCCTAAACAGTGTTTTTGATATTTTTCCTTTTACTCACCTATAAATGTAATATATAGTAAGGGAAAGTATTGCGATCATGAAAATTTTCGAATCTGATGTATCAACAGAAATACACGTTTTGAGGTCCCCTGAGTCCAAATAATCAAATCCCGCAAAACGGTCTGTGTGTATGCAAAGAGACTAGCTCAAAAACGACCAAGTTGTACGAAACTGATGTTACATATTTAAGATAGGTATATGACTGAGATTTTACTGAAACTTACAACATAAGTGAAATATAAAAATATTTCATGGATGTTTATAACCTTAAATACATTTACTGTAGTTGAATAACTCTAGATATGATACTATATTTACATAATTAAGTATCTATTCGCCGTTTATTCCAAAAAATCATCAAATAACCTTTTAGAAAATTAAATTAGTGAATAATTTGATGAATTTTTCCTTTGAGAGATCCCAATATTATCCACTTACAATTAGTGTGGCAACTTTTGACTTATCCATGGCAGGCAATGAAAATCTCGTAATTTCATTTTAGTTAACTTTATAATGGAAAATAACATTAATAGTCCTACAATCCATAACCATTTATAGGTTAAATATTCAGATCTCTCTAGCATATATGAGCCTTTCGGTTGACAGAATGACTGACTCCAATTTCAACATTCTTTATTATTAATTTTAGTGATGTTTCTAGTGGCAAGATTTATACCTTTATTCGCAGTTCTCTATTTCAACACTGCAATAATTTTACTCACTGTCTGATTAGATATAACTTTTCCAACTAGAAATATCACTAAAATGACATTATACTCAAAAATGTTGAAATTGGGGTTAGTCATTATGTCAACTGAAAGGCTCAGAGACTGAAGTTGTGTGGTTTATAAAAGTAGATGGAGTGACTAGATTTTTATTGCCTACTACTGATGTAATAAATAGACTTTTTTTAATTATAATGGTCATAAAGATTTGTTATCGGTAAGCTTTAAGCTTTAGCTCCGTTTAAAATGCACTTCAAAAATTTTATAATAGCCTTAATGACAACAATACACAACCTCATACCACAGTAAATTACAATTAACCTAAATGTCGAAGAAAGAGAAATTTTAATAAAAATAAGGACTAACATAGATAATAGGAAATTTATACATAATTCATCCCAAAAAAAAAAATACAAAAAGGTCACAATAATTAACCGACAAATAATTCAATACGTTTGTTTAAGTTTATCTGAAATTGGTTAATTGACGGGCACAAACAAAGGATGGAGTGATGTAGAGGAACTTAAAAAGATTAAAGATATGAAGGATAAGTACCTATTATAAATACCAGAGCAATCGGTTACAGATATTTTATTTTAATTAAAAATAATATATGTACATACATAATTATAAATTGTCCACATTATAACGAAAACCTTATTTTTTAATAAGTTGAAATTTATAATGTTATACGTTTCGAAATTTGTTCCTGAAAAATTGTTTTTTCTATCACTTAATACATCTTTTAATTGAGGAAAATAGCGTTCAAGATGAACTGATGTAAGGAGACTCATTTTGTAACAAGTACTGCTTCGGATTCGCTAAGCCTTTTATTATTATTGTTATAATACTTAGTACAGCTTGCATGAATACCCCTAATAAGTAAAGAAGCTGCCATTAGTGGCATTGTTTGACAGACATCGGTAGAGAACAGATCTCCCAGTTGATGTAAAAAGGGAACCAGCCAATTGCAATAATGGATTACCACTCGTCATTTGGCATTTTTGATGATTCATTATCATAATTATGAATTATTTACAGCTTTAAAATCAACAAAATATTTTAATTTAACAACTTTTAATGACCTGACCTTGTGTTGAGGTTGTTTCATCGGTTGCGGGGGCAAAAGGACAGCTGTTGGAAGCGATACCATGCCGGGGGAACGTGTTGGTGTTATCCTTGACAAAGAAGGAGCATTAGGATGCCGAGTCGCATTGGAATAACTCTTCACTGTTCCACCCATCTGCAACAATATAAAAAAAATATTACCTTTAACATTGATATCAGAATAAAAAGTAAGTAATTGGTCTAAGCGAAAAATTCATAAAGTATTGAGCCATTGACCAAATAGTAATACAATAGATTTAGATCAATAAGAGTTCAATTTTTCTATTTTTATTTTTTGAAAACAACAGTTCATTATTGAAAATAATGTACAACCAAATTCCAATCCCAATGGGCTACATCAGCCTTAGCTTAATTGGTAAGGTATTTATAAACATTTCAAATTGTCATGTCTATAACCAACTGTACCATAACTTTTGAGTTAGCCACAATAATAGTTTCTATTTCACGACTTTTTCCATGATTTTCCAGTGTTGGCAGAGAAGATAATCTTAAAAAGGATGGCTCAATAGTTGGATTTGATGAAGTGTTATGGAAGATATGGTGTATTGGCAAGAAATATCTTTGATATATCATCAATAGATATATTTAAAAAATATCAATAAAAAAAACTTGTTTGTTTTTTCTGTTGGAATTACAGACCTAGATCTTAACAAGCCTTCTCTATCTCTGCCTATCTTAAGCTATTTCTTTCCAATTAACTGCATCAATGTTGATTTTATCTATTTGTATGCTTTTTGGCCTTCCGTGTGGTCTTTTGCTTTCTACTGAGGCATTCATTGTTATGTAGAGGCTTCTAGATGGATTGCTCCGAGCTACATGCCCTGCCCATCCTAATCTCTGTGCCTTCTTATCATGGAAAATTGATTGACCAGTTTCTGTAACCAGCTCTTTCTTCTCCAGGTGTTAGTACTCAGATCCTAGATCGCTCTGGTTATTGTGCTGATGATTTTTCTCTCAAATAATCTTTCAATACTTTTTTTCTAGGGCACCGGGTTAGTGGCCAGGTCTTTACCATACTTACAGCCATGTCGTTATCATATTTAGATTTTGTTTTGTAATAACAATTTTAAAAATGGGACCAATATTAGCTAAGATAGAGCAAAGCAGCAAACAAATGTCAAAGCAGACTTTTAACCCAATGCATTAAAAAAATGTTATTACGATTTACTAATCCATAATCAGCCCAAAAATGGATGTTTAAAATATAATTACAAAATTTCTAGATTTTTAACTCAAAACTATTAATTTATCAATTTAATTTTATTGCTCATAATTCTGCCTTAATTGGAATATTTAGTGAAAAGTAATAAAACCCTTACGTAGTAAAAGTCTCCGCATTTTTAAAAACTTTTTTTTTTTTTTAATTTAATTCAGTATAAGGACTCTATAATACTGAAATATTGGAGTTTATCATTATAAAAAATAACTTTTTTGGGTTGATTATTAAAAATTATTTTAATAACTGAAATAAAAATTGAAGGTCGTCTGAAATTAAATTTCATGTCAAATAAGTTCTAAAATAAGAATGCTGTAATCTTCTGTCATATGTTCACAAAACGAAAAAGAGATATCTATGTATTTGAGCATTAAAACTACACTATTTGACTTAGGAATAGAAAATAATTTAATAAATTCACTTAACTGTTATTAAACCTCAAATATGACGTCCATAAATATTTTGAACTTATTATTTTGTTTTTCAGAGCCTTTTGTAACATTTTCAGCATTTTTAAAGTTGGTAATAATTTCTTAAATAAAATATTGTAGTTATGGTGCTGAAACTAAAGTTACCTTTTCCACATCTACTATACTTAAGGAAGAAATTTAAAAACTGATGATTTCTTTACTTTATGTTGACAAAAAAATAAAAGTAAAATAATAATGATAAAATAAAATAAAAATGGGCTGAAAAACTCTACGCTATACACCTTTCATTCAAAGTTTCTTTTTTTATAACAGCCACTTACAAGTTAAAAAAAGAGCCTGAAAATAACTATATAGATATGTTTTTAAAAAAATTACAGATCATTCATTTTTTTAATGCCCTTCCCAACTCTTTTGCCAGCACAATTAACTCTTAATTTAGTAAAATTGTTTAATTCATAATAAAATTAGGTTTTTATTCAGATGGACCATTTAAAAGTTATAGACCAGAAACTGAAAGAAGTCGGAGAGAATTTTGCAATAAAAAAAAACTAATAATGGAGGAAAGAAAAATATATTATTGTGGGGTGAAGTTGAACAAGTTTGCCATAAAAAAAAAAAAAAAAAAAGTCAAGTATCGGAATAGTTTCAATAAAATGATAGATCAAATTTTCATGTAAAAAATAAATATAATATTAATAATTCTAGAATATCAATAGCAATTGATATAGCCAAGATAAGATACAAACCTGAACTTGTGCCTGCTGAGTAAGTGTGACCTGCTTATGGGTTGTCGCTGCGGTGTGAACAAGAACGGGACGAGCCTGAACTTCGCCACTCAATGGCCTCATTTGATGGCTACTGACCAACCGGGCTCCAACTGCACAAAATGGATAACAGAATAAATAAGAAAGTATTCTCTTAATCGGGATGAAATATTATTGATTGATTTTTTTTTTAAACACTACTAAACAAAATACAGAATACTTTATTGCATTGTAACCTAAAAAAAATCTTAATTTTGGTTACAATAGCTATCACAATCCAAGAATTTTGTAACCAGTTGAAAAATGTTTTAAAATCAGAATTCTTATAAATTAAATAATTTTAAAAAATGGTGTAAAAAGCTACCAATCAACCACAATATTTTGCTTTGTTGTTGTTGACACTTTTTAAAATATAACAACCTCACATTCTCAAAAATAATTAGCCACACATTTTATTAGACTAATATTTTTAGCCTATATTATTAGTAGCACATCTTGAAGGGAATTGTCGACAAAAATAATGATTAAACTTTACTTTTATTATTTTTTTTTTTTAATTTGTATCGTCCTACAAAATGAGACAACGTGACCCATCCAATATATACACCATCTACCCTAAGCAATGTGAAGGCAGAATACATTGGAATGTGGGTCCATAAGTGCCCAGTTCTAAATGTTGTGGGTTCATATTCCAACTGGACCAGTTAATATTTATTTTTTGATATCTCCAAGAAATAAATTTTGACACTCTCACTCATTTTTTTCTGTCCAGCCTATCTGTGCTTTTTTTGGGCCAGAGGAGAGAGCGGGGGATAAAAGCATGTTGGCAACGAGACGCGAACTCGTAATTATTTATTATTTTATTTTTATTATGTGAACTACTGTTTGTCAGGTTGCACGGACACGCGTATTATTGCACACGTGTTAGCCTGCTTGGCCACCCCACGTTCTGACACTCCCACTACGATAAGTACGCAGTGGCAAAAAGAAACAAGGATCATTTATGGAAATAGTTCCCCACCAGTAGCAGTATCTACCCAAAATAAGAGTAAATTCCAGAGTAAGATATTTGTTTAGGTAAAAAATAAATATCTCGAAAATAATTATTAAACCTTAAATTTAAATTAAAACTAATAAAAAAAGATTACCCGGTATGGGAGAAGGGCGTTGCTGCCCAGATAAACAAGTTACTCCAACAACTGAGCGACCGGTATTAGCAGCTGATCTAAAACATATTTATATAATCAACTTGAACATTCAGATTTTGGATCATATTAAAAATAAAAAGACTAATTGTATACGCACGAAGATAAAGAATGTTGCTGAGCGACTCCTATTGTCTGCAAGGTAGTTGGTCCCCGAATAATCGGTGTAGCAACAGAAGATCTCGGTACCGATATATTAGCCACAGCAGCTGCACCTATAAATACAGTAAGTATGCAATATAATATGGGTATTATAGCAATCAAACAATACACACAGTGTTTAGTACACGTCAAACATATGCCTACGGAATGGGCAACAGCCATTATCTGCCCAATACATAAGAAAGGAGATCAAACAGAATGCGCTAACTATCGAGGAATCTCACTCCTTTCGTGTGCTTATAAGCTGCTCTCTAACATTATTTTTGAGAGGATCCTCCCGTATTCTGAAAAGGAACTGGGGAAATATCAGGCTGGATTTCGAAGAGGACGCTCAATCACTGATCAACTGTTCTCTCTGAGGATGATCCTAGAAAAGACTATGGAGCGTAAGGTAGTCACCCACCATTTATTCCTAGACTTTAAAGCAGCATACGACAGCGTTGATAGAACACAACTATACTGTGCCTTGGAGGAGCTAAGCATCCCTCAGAAGCTCGTACGCCTAATCAAGATGACCATGGACAGCTCGAGATGTAGAATACGCGTCGGTTCTGACGACTCCGAAGAGTTTAAAGTGAGCAGTGGGGTTAGGCAAGGGAATGCCCTCGCCTGTCTATTGTTCGACTTGGCAGAGGAGAAAGCTGTAAGAGACTCCGGTATTCTGACCAACGATATAATCTTCAATCGCCTGACACAGCTTCTTGGTTTTGCTGATGATATTGACATATGAGAGTTGGTGGTGAGGTGGATCTGAACTCTCCATTTGAGGTAGGTTCTTTTAAGTTTGAGAGAGTGAAAAGTTTTATATACCTTGGGTCTGAAATTAATAGCAAAAATGACATGGCTCAAGAAATACAAAGAAGGATCACGGCTGCCAATAGATGTGTCTTTAGACTTGGCCGACACTTAAGAAGTAGGTACCTCTCAAAGAAGACCAAGCTGATCATATACAAGACCCTTGTTCGGCCTGTTTTGACATATGGCTCAGAGGCTTGGACGATGACTAAAAACGATGAGATGAAGCTGAGTGTGTTTGAGCGAGGAGTCCTCAGAAGGATTTATGGTCCAGTAAAGGAGGGTGATGTGTGGAGGAAAAGAAAAAATAGGGAGCTCAGTTCCCTCTATACAGACATCGACGTAGTCACGTATATTAAGGTGGGCAGGGCATGTGGCCAGAATGAGCACCGTTGAAATATCAAAGAAAATAATGATGGAGGAGCTGCACCTCGTAAGACGGGTAGGAAGGCCGAGGAGGAGATGGTTGGACAACGTGGCCTATGATGCGAGAACCCTGCTTGGTGTACGGAACTGGAGAGCTGCAGCAGAAGACAGAGCCAACTGGCGGAGGCTCTTGGAGGAGGCCCAGTCTCGGTAACGGGATATCGTGCCACATATGATGATGATGATGATTAGTAAACGTAAATAACTACTGACAAAATTTATATTTGAAAAACGTAATTGCAAAATAATATTAAAACCTAGAATTTATAAACAAAATGGTGAGGCCATTGATATTAAGGTACAATATCGATATAAGAACATTATTATTCTTTTAAGGACAAAAACAACTTGGAAATAATTTTATAATTATGTATAATAATAAAATTATTTATTTAAATTCATATTTGATTGTGCTAAACAAGATCATCAGTTAATCAATAAACATAAAATATTTTTTCAAAAGAAAACAACAAATGAAAGTTTAAGCCGAATAACAGACAAAATAAAGTTTTTGGGCCAATTACGTTCTCAGTCATTTTTTTTTTGCAATTCAAGCGAATTGCATTATGTCTTACTTTCATTATATTTTGATGGAAATAATGTTTTAAGTCTTAATAATGCCATTTCTATAAAATATTGATGGACTATCGTTCTCTGTTTTCTTCAAGCAACAAAAGTATTTTTGATCCAAATTTATTGGTCTCCTGTATAAGCTTTACAGAACATTATTTGACTGAACCCTTCAAATGCCTCTTAACCAAAATAACGGAATTGAGTATAACTATTTAACATAGATGGCTACGGCAACGTGATTACCCCTTGGAACATGATAGCCAGTCGTTGTAGTCGCCTGGATGGGAACTGTGTTTAGTCTACTAACTCCGGCTCCACCTGCTTGACCAGAAACTGGAAAAAACAGAACCATTTTATTTATAAAACATATTAACCAGTAAAAACAAGAAAGGAATTTCCATTATATTATACTCAAGGTATTCGCTAAGTAATTTACAACTAAGTAATTTAGTAATAGTTCTTGACTACTGACTAATGCTAACCTACTCATAATTATTAGTAGCACTCCTTAATAAATTAAATTAAATTTCTATATACAGAAGTTTGGATAATATCCTAATTCTCTGTCTAATAGCTCAGTAATAAAAACTGTTTGATAGATTTCTCTTAGGAAAACCAACAATACATAACTTATAAATACAGACGAAAATCTGAATTACCAAAAAACTGTATGCAGTGAAATGAATAAAAAACAAATAAACAAAATTAAAAATGATATTGGATATTGGTGTCCTTTCCTTCCTTTAACCTTATTGACAAAGATAATATATCTTTATGAAAGATAGCATACCTTTGACAATATTTTATATTATTAAAAACGAAAAATCAAAACTGATAAATTATAATGAAAAATTGTTGGCACGACAAAATCTTCATGATTTAAATTAGCTTTATCGGATTTGTTAATAAAATTAATTTTTTTTTATACAACAAGATTTTCCCAACAAAATAAGATTTTATGATATTTTTGCTGTTATGTTTTCGACAACATAAAAGCAAAAAAAATACGGTTCATGTTTTTTGTAGTTGCAGCATCTATGTACTGTGCAATAGTTCCTTGGATAGCTGCCACGGTCTATGGAATGGTTTCCAAGAGCAGAAAAGCTTATTATTTTTCTTTATTATTTTATTAATTTATCAATATTTCTCAACTTACTTTTTTAATATCTTATTATATATGTTTACTTGAATCATTTCCATAATATTCTTAATTTATTGCCTTTTATTTTCTATAATATTTTGTTTATTTATTTATAAAATAAAAAGATAAAAAAAGAATAATGCTTATCCAGATTGAAAATTAAAGTTGTAGAAGGTAACGGAGAGTGACGAAAAAAATATAAATAATAATTTCATAAAACTAACATTATTTAACATAAATCACATGTTTCTAAGGAAATTAAATGAAATTATCATACTAAATGAAACTTTTAAATTTTTTTCAAAGTTTGAAAAATAAAATTATTTAAACTCCACCGAATAGAGCCAATGCCATTGCTTAAAATACTATTTCATTGTACTTGTATAGAAGAAGAAGTGAAATATAAAAATATTTCATGGATATGTTTATAACCTTAAATACATTTACTGTAGTTTAATAACTCTTGATATGATATTATATTTAAATAATTAGGTATCTATCGGTTCCTTATTCCAAAAAATCTTCAAGTAACCTTTTAGAAAATTAAATTAGTGAATAATTTGATGAATTTTCCCTTTGTGAAATCCCAACGTTATCCATTGACAATTAGTGTGCCAACTTTTGATTTATCCATGGCAGGCAATGATAATCTCGTAATTTAATTTTAGTAAAATTTACAATGGAAAATACCAGTTTAATAACTAATATTCCTACAATCCATAATCACTTATAGGTTAAATATTGAGATATAATTTCAAATCTCTCCTGGCATATCTGAGCTTTTCGGTTGACAGAATGATTAACTCCTACTTCAACATTATTAATTATTAATTTTAGTGATGCTTCTAACGGTAAAATTTATACATTTATTTAGTTTTATAAAGGTATAAACTGAAGTTGTGTGGTTTATAAAAGCATATGGATTAACTAGATTTTTATTGCTTACCATCAATATAATAAATAGACTTTTAATAATTTTAATGGTCTTAATGATTTGTTATCTTTAAGCTTTAAGCTTCAGCTCCATTTAAAATGCACTTCAAAAATTTTTTAATAGCCCAATATTGTTAGAAAATAATTTCTATTCAAAACAGAGCGGTAAGTGAAAGTTGTGTGTGTTGCGCACACGAGATTTTTTAAATTAATTCTATATATATATATATATATATATTAATACAAAAAAAAATAGACAAAACTAGGCAATGAAACCTTAATTTTAAAACTAGATAAAGAATTATAAAGTATGACATTTGATTTGAAAAACAATAAGTCATGAGATAAATAAAATATTTATTATGTCTTTTTACAGCGACAATTTTGATATAGAAGGGAATGTGTTTGAACACATACAGAATTTTAGGTATCTATGGGATCTATGATAACTATAAAAAAAGAAATTGAAGAGGATTTTAAAGTTAGGCTGAAGGCAGGAAATGCTTGTTATTTTTCTTTGTCAAAACTACTTAGTTCTCGCCTCCTGTCCTGAAGCTTAAAAATTAGAATTTACAAAACCATTATGCTTCCTACGGTTCTTTATGAATGCAAAATCTGGCTGCTTACATTAAGGGATGAGCTGCATCTTAAGGTTCTTGAAAATTAAGTATTGCGCAGAATATTTGGACCGATAAAGGACAAGTCAACCTGAGAATTTAGGCAGTTACACAATGCTGAATTGTATCCGGTTAATATAATTGAGATGATTAAGTTGATGAGAAATAAAATGGGCATGTAAAATCGCTGGGCTTAGTAACAAAATAATTTCTAAAAAGTTAATATGCGCTGGATCGACTGGCAAGTATTCAAGGGGTAGGCCAAAGCAAATGTGGGAAGATTGCGTTAAGTCTGATTTGGTGGGGTTGGGTTTAGGCGGAGCCTGGTTGATGGAAGAATGTGGACATCGAGTGGTGGTGTCGGCATCGAACCTTCGGGTTTGCTAAGCCTTATTATTATTATCAAGTAGTTTAGAAGCCATGGACTAACTGGCTAACTAACACTTTACCCTTCAGGTTAAAACAGAATTTCTTTTGGCCTTTTCAAATTGAAGAAATATACTTTATAACAGCTGTGACATTCATGAGGTTATTGATGCCTATGAACCGGATGGCATACTTGACATTTTTTCTTAATGACAAACACTCTTTTTCATGTGATTTTTTTTCTTAATGACAAACACACTTTTTCATGTGATTTTTTTTCTTAATGCCAAACAATTTTTCAGGTCGTTTTAAAAATCTATATTCAATAATGGACTGCGACATTCATGAGAATCATTCTTCTAATTACTTTCCCCCATGCTTACAGCCATTTCAAACTGGTACCAAAAATGAACCAATGAGATTCATCACATTTATAATAGTTTGTTCAATTGAGAACTATGAATTTTGAATTTATTTGTAGAACAATGTACATAAACTTGGGTTGGAAATGGCCCACAATCAAATTGTTCACTGTCTTGCTACCAAAAAAATTCAATTCCAGTTTTAGGCCTTTTTATTACAATCAGCAAGTGAGTATATTATATAATTGGAATTAAATTTTTCAAAGTTTTTTTTTCAAATATACAAAAATATAAGTATTGGTATAAATGTTGATATTCTTTTAGAAAATAATGAATATATATGTAAGTATTTATAAATTAACAAAGAAATATATATTTGATTACAAATAAATTTGTATCAAACAAACATCCTTTCTAAAAATATCAATGGATTATGTGGAGCAGAAACAGGTTTAGAGTTACAAGAGCTTTATATGGGTGAAAATTGGTAAGAAATGGATAGCAGAAGAAAATATTTCCAAAACTACTCCAAATTAGATCATAATAATTTGTGTATATTATAAATTAACGCAAACTTTAAGTTTTCTTAAGTGGAAACCAATCTGTCATTTGAAATAAAAAACAAAATAACTAGCAAGACTAAACTGAACAAAATGATTTACAAATAACATCAATATTACAAAACAGTTTAGGCTTGTTTCTTAAATTAACAGAAACATTTTTTGTAGTTATATTTATAATTAAGAAAAGATTTTTTTTATAAAGAACCTGATAAAAGGAGAAGGACCAAGACAGGAAACACTCTACTTAAGAGTTCATGGGCAGATATTCAATGATTTAAAAGATAACAAAAATTTTTTATATATAAAAAAATAATCAAAGCAGTAACCAGGAAACTACCCCTATACCACCGATTCAGGTTCAAAAATGTTTGAAACCAAAAAGCATCAAAAGTAAATAATCACTCCTGGCATGAACCTAGTATTTTTGTTGTGACCACAGGAAATTTAAATGAAATTTACAGAAAATTAGAAATGGGTTGGGCAGGTAGAATGGCAATAAATTAGATTTTTTTTTTTTTTTTTTGTTCTTCCCTACCTCGCCTTTTAGGCTATACGGGATTTCCCGGGCCGGGGGGTGAGGGCGGGGAATTTAAAATCCCCTCCGGCACCGGGACGCGAACTCGTACTTTTTATATCATCTCAAATCTCTGTTATCCGGTTGCCAGGCAACTAGCGGTGTTGTGCACACGCTTTAGCCTATTCGGCCACCCCGCCCCCACAACAATAAATTAGATAATCATAATAACACTTTGTGAACATTAAAAGTTCAAAGCTAATAGATCCAACGAACAATTTTTACCTACTTAACACTCCTCTTCCCCTCCTAAACTCAACTGATTCAACACCGAAATCTACAAAATCTAACTCACGTAATGGCGACTAAGTGTGATCCATCTATTTCTTCCTCCGTCTCACCAACATTTACCCACTCATCCAATAAACTAAATAATTAAATTAAATTTATACTATCTTATAATAGCTATCAACAATTATGGATGATTTTAAAATGCTATTATAATTTCTATTATAACCTCTCGATAAACAAAAGGACCAAACTAAATTGGTGGATTTATAGAAATATTGAATTTGATTGATTGACATTTAGTTTAAAATAAATATGACACTTAAATTTTGTAATTTAATTATATATAAATGTTTTATTGTAAAAATACAACTGATTTCTGTTTCTTTATTTCTGTCAGCAAACATAATTAAAAAGAAGAGTAACATATCAGAGTTGATATAATCAACGGAGTTCTTATATAAAGGGAAGAAATATTAACAAGGTTAAAAAATGTTAAGTGACTGTTAGTTATCTGAAGCCAAAAGATAACTAATGGCATAATCTCAACTGGATAAGCTAGCTAGTACCCAAGTTAATATTCAACTGCTTACCTCCTTTAAAATATTCCCTATCAATCAACAAATCAATATTTCTATTGGCATTAAAGCTTCAAAAGTAAAAAAAAAAAATGGCATGATTAGAGAACAAGCCCACAGAAAGCATTAAATTTCAAACCCTTTACAATACCTAATTATTACTCAATACTTAATGTGATTCATAATTATTTGAATCAATTCTAAAACATAATAAAATCATTTAAATTTGAGTATGAATGCATTAAATAAAAAAACCTAAAATGGGAAATGATATTAATGATAAACAATTTCTAGACCCTTCAACCTACACAGTATCAAGCGCTTAAATTAAACTAAAAATCAGATCATTTACTTTGATGCCATATTTAAAAGCAACAACACAATTCATTTTTAACAAAAAGAGCCTTTCAGATTATGAAATTGAATAATATTTAATAACTTGGGAGAGATGTGACATACCTTTAGGAAGAACTTGAGTTTGTATTGTAGTAGAACTGATGAGAGCGGCTGAGTGACCTGGTGTAGCCATCACAAATCTTGCAGGCCCAGGAATGGTCCGAAGCAACGCTCCCTGTAACAATAAACATCAAAAATAGAAAACAAAATAAAACTATCTTAGAATCAAATACTTAATCAATCCATGTTCTCCAAAGATCTAAAAACAAAAAGAAAAACTTCACAAATAATAAATATATATTTTACCTACCCCTTGACTTCGAACTTGCTCAGGCTTGACAGAACTATTGGCAGATATCTCAGGAGTTTCTCCTGCCCTGTTATCACCCATTTTAAAATGTGGTTGATCAATCGACAAAAAATCAAAGCCTCTCCTAAAAATGTTGAAACCATTATATTTGTTGACAAAACAATAAAAATTAAAAAGAAACAATGCAGTTAAACAATTAATGAATATCTGAATCATATATCAGGATAACTTACAAATCTCATAAACCAATAATAAGCATTAAAAATTCTATGAGGCGGATTTTTCGGTTTAAATTTATGAATTAAACCCAGTGAATATTCAAAAAGATGACTGACGCTAATTCAAAGCTTACAAGAGGTATCCAGATGCTGCTTAACCGAATGAAAAAAGCATTCTCGACAGTGCTGGCTGAACAACATATCCATTTCTGATCAACATTGCAGGCATAGTAAATCCAAAACACCAAAAGATGATTAAAACCCAACTCAAAATATTAAAACCTGAAACATAAGTCGCCACTGTTGGCCGCGGAACCAAACATATGTTTACTGATTACATGATCAACGCTAACTCACACTAATCAAACACATTATTACAATTTATAAGCAATTTCTTCATAAATCCCACAATAAAAATTTGGTGGGAACTAATAACCTCGAACGAATCTCACCATCCATCATTATTAAAACACATCAATAATATTTTTATTCATAATGGAATCTATTAAGTATTCCCGCTACTTATGCTTGTCAGCTGGAGATCCAAACAGCGGGAAGCTTAAACGTCTTTAACTGTTGTATTTATTTGTCATTAATTTTTCTTAACAAATTGATTATTTTCGCCATACTTTTCCTAAATTTTTGTAAGTAGTTGACTTATATTTTTCTAACTTTGGTCTAAACGATTTTCAGGCACTAAGAAGTAATTATTATATCTCCATTTTTCTCTTGATGTCCAATACTATAAACGACAATGTCCAAATAAGCTTATCTAAGCTGTTTCTTTGTTTACAACTGAGCTAAATTGGCGTCAGCAATGATAAGTAATGATTGAACGTGTAGGGTCTTCTTGATCAAAGAGATCTTTCCCATTCTTGTGACGCTCATTCACGAATCATCGTGTAAGGGTCGCTTTAAAATAAAAAAGGGTATTTACATTGTGATAAAGTAAACCGATTGTAATAAAAGATAAGAAATGTGTTTATAACAAACTGGTAAAGATTACATTTAATAACTCTGGGTTAACATATGAAGAAAATGAGTGCGGACGAATAAAGAAATTTCCAATTTCAATTTCTTTATTCGTCTACAATCAAATGTAATCTTTACCAGTTTGTTATACACACATTTCTTATCTTTTATCACAAAATGTTTAATCTTAACTTACACGCTATATTCTTCTTTGTTTTCTATGTTTATTCATACTTATTTTCTATTTTTGTTTGTATTTTCTATTTATATATAATTGATATTTTAACTACATTGTCACCACTATATATGTCATCTTATTATTTCTTTATCAGACCATTGTTTTTTATTTAATATCTACTTATAATTCATTTATTTTATTTTCACCATGTACCATTTATATTTTTTATCTTTTGTAGCCCAGATGAAGATCTGCAAGGTGGGTCGAAACGTCGGCGTAATTAACAAACCTATTTTTTTTAAATTTAGTTTTTATTTGACCGCACCCTCTAACAATTCCTTCTCATATATAAATGATATATTATAGATTTTATCATGAACCAGCCTTTCTCAATTTTAATTAATAACATTTTAAATTTTTATTTAACACAATTTAAATTATTTTATATACATTTATTAAAATAATCTACTTATAGTCTGTGGGCCAGACCCCCTACCGTGCACCTCCCTCCCCTCCCCCACATCCCTATAAATTGCATATCGTTATGTTCCTTGTAACTATTTATTAAAAAAAGGCTAATGTTCCCACAAAAAAAAAGTGAACGCACTTTTTTTTAAACATTGGCTTTTTTTTAATAAATAGTTACAAGGAACACAACGATATGCAATTTATAGGGGTGTGGGGGGGGGGGGTGCACGGTAAGGGGGTCTGGCCCACCGTGTATTATATAATATGCATCAGAATTGGATAAGTCTTAGCTATTAATAATTGGTCAATAATGTAATAATAATTGTAAGTCAATTATATTATAATAAGTCATTATATTTTTTTCTTTGCCTAATATTTTAACACTGTCAAACCTTGATGATTTCGTGACTGTGACTACTTTTACCTGACTAAGCGAAGCAAGCGGGGCAGATGAAAGCCTAACTTTGTGGCGTAAACTATTAGAACGAATTTTTACAACAAATTATTACTTAAATGATCTTTAAACGGTCTATACAATAATATAAAATCTTAGCTATCTCAGTTATAGTCAAGCGGATCCAGAAATTAAATATAAAAATAAACTTTTTTATATGACTATATTCTATTACAATTAGAAAGATGTAAATTTTTACCTATAATCCAAACTCCGTCGTATTCCTATTTAGGAGGAATGTGCTTCCAAGTATTCCATAGTCTTCTTCCCCTTGTTCTTGTGGCATATCCTGATAATGCCTGAGGTGTGGAAATGCATCCATTCAATCAACTGGAAAACTTTTAAAATAATTCAGTTTATCAGAGCCGTCGATTTTTTTAAAAAGGAATCTACCTTCTCACTGGGCGACTGTCTTCTTTTTGTTTTTAAATTTTGTTGTTGTAATTGTTTATTGTTTTGTTGAAAATTTTAAATTAATAAAAAATTGTTAAGAGATGGGTAAGTAGTCGACAATGACAACAAGGATGAAACAAAATTGTCAGGAATTTCGGTCAAAATTTCTTTACCTGATGTTCCTACCTAAACATAGGTGCCTATCTAGTTCTGCTATAAATACTGTTATAAAAGTTGCACTTTGTTTTGGGTATTATTTAGATTATCCTTACCTCTATCATGTTATTTTCTTTACATTTCAGGATAATAATCTCAATTAGTTTGTATTTTTCTTACGTTCAGTTAACATGGAGTGGGGTGATAAAAAAAACCGAATAGCAGTGATCGCCTTACTCAAAGGTGGAAAATGTAGTTCAGAGATTTTGAACAGTTTGAAACCTTTGGGTATCAGCCGTATATTCGTGTTCCGCACTATAAATAGACATGACACCCATCAGTAAGTGACAGACCTCGACCGGTCCATCCCCGCACAGTGAGAACGGCAAATGCAGTGGGAGCAGTGGCTGCTCGAATCAGATGAAATCCCATTAGAAAACCACAAATCATGTCTCGCGGGAAATTGGAATCTCTGTCAGATCAATGTCTCACAAAATAAAAAGTGACCTTAGGATGGGTGCATTTCCAAGAATGACAGGACAGAGGCTAACGATTTGCCTAAAAAAAAATTAGAGTGGATAGATGCAAAGTGCTCCTTGATCGTTACACCAATGGTCTTCATTGAAAAATTTTGTTTAGCGATGAGAACAACAATTGAAGAAAACTGTAATCGTCCAAATTGCTTTGATAGCACCACAAAGCTCACTTTTTGTGAAAAAGAGTTAAAACAGCTGCTAAAAACTATTAGGATGATATTTTGAAACCAGTTGTGAAGCCTCTAATTGATACTCTGCTGGAAGTCATTGGGTTTTCCAGCCGGATTCAGCTCCAGCTCACAAGGCCAGGTCAACTCAGCAGTGGCTGCAAAAGAACATTCCTGAGTTCATGTCTGCCTCGGAGTGGCCCTCAGGAAACCCTGATTTCAACCAATTAGATTATCGGTCCGAACTGGCGAGGGTGGCACAGAGCACACCCTATCTTGGAAAGCCTCAAACAATCTCTGGTCCGAGCAGTTGAGCGCTTTCCTCAAGAAGTGCTGCGTGCTGCTATTGATGACTGGCCACGGAGATTAAATGCCTGTGTCAAGGCAAAAGGTGGACATTTTGAGTAATTTCTTTTTTGTTTTACTCTCTATAGATATACATTTTATTTTCTAATAAAGTTTTTGAAAAAAATAATTTTTCTGTTGAAAAATGTATATTTCCTTGTAACAATATTAATGACAGAACTAGGTAGATATAAGCAAGACATTATATATTATACTGTCAAAGAAAATATTGTTCAAAAATGAAAAGGTGCATTAAATAGATTTTAAAATTGCAACTTATGATGCTTAAATTATTTTGAGCTAAGTGAAAATACAGCTTATATACAAAAACCGCCTATTCAATTAATTCACCATTGTAACAATGTTCCTATTCTATATCATAAATAATGTTTTAATATTGAAGCATGAAACAAAATTTTCAGCATTTTCAGTCAAAATTGTTTTAATAAGTCAACAACAACTTGAGTTCTTGTCTCGACTTCCAAACAATAGCCCTCATTATGACCCACATGTTTGGACCGAAACGTCGCCTAACTGAATAAAGAAATTTTGACTGAAATTCCTGACAATTCTGTTTGATCCTTATAATTTATCAGTTGACTACTTGCCTGTCTCTTAAAGTTTTAATATTTAAAAATATCTAAAATTAAAAAAAAACATTTAAAACAAAATAAAATCTAATAAAAAACTTGAAGACATGATCATTTAGAAAAAGTAAACTTAAACATAAAGAATCAATAGACTTTACATCAGAAATAAATTATAAAAGGAAAGGAATAATGAATAATAATCGAGGAGTTAAGTGCTTTCCTAAAGAATTGCTATGTGCTGCTAATGATGACTGGCCACGGAGATTAAATGCCTGTGTCAAGTCAAAAGGTGGACATTTTGAGTAATTTCTTTTTTGTTTTACTCTCTATAGATATACATTTTATTTTCTAATAAAGTTTTTGAAAAAATTAATTTTTCTGTTGAAAAATGTATATTTCCTTGTAACATTTTATCACTAAAATGATCGTGTGTACGCACACAGCTCTATAGAAACCAAGGAAGAGTGGAAAGAGGTCATCACCCTTTCTCAGGGAGTTTGCTTAGATGGCACCACAAAGCTCCATTTTTGTGAAAAAGATGAGTTAAAACAGCCGCTAAAACTATCAGGACGATATTTTGGAACCTGTTTTCAAGTCTCTGTAAATAAAAGTCTGTTTGCTGAAAGTCATTGGATTTTCCAATAGAATTCTGCTCCAGCTTCAATTTTCGGAATGAAAAGTTTCAGAATAACGGGTAAGGGTAAAACATGGAACAGACAGCAGCATATACAATTGTGTATGATCTAGGATTTTTGTAATTCTACTTTCCCTTTCTCTGTTTTTAAGAAAAGTGAGCAATAAAATATCTTGGGAGAGGATGGAAAGGGTAGTTTTTGCGCCATCGACCTCACTGGGCCCAAACATCATGAGGGCTATCGTTTGGAAGTCGAGATAAGAACTCACTCGTCTCTGACTTCACTCAAGTGCGATCTGGATTGGAGCGATCTGGTGTCGTCCACGAGAAGACGAAGTTCGTGTCGACGCCTGCGTTGGATCGGCCAACGAATTCAATTTTTGGATTTATGCCAGATTTTAAGGCGTTCTGCCCCACTGTACGAAACGAGGGTTATGTGTTTAAGTTTTCCACTAAAAGCTATATAACGATTTTTTTAAGCGAACTGCTGGATCGATTTGTAAGTTTGATGGCTCAAATTATTAGGTGAGATCTTCTGAGTCCTCTGAAACAATTTGGGCTAAAACACTGACTCGTGATTGAATAAGATGCGTTAAATCAATTTGCTAAAAGCTAATGTAACG